AGAGTTGTCGTCCAGGACGAGTTGCTTACAGCAAAGTCACCACAGAGCCATCGTCCAGGATGGCAGCAAAAGCAGACCCAGTTGCTTGGATCTGCTGGACCCCCACCAACTCACTTTGCACACGGCTGCAGTCACCACCAAAGCGAGTATCGCCCCAAGCCAGCACAGCGACTCCTGTGCCATAGAGTGCACAAGCTTTGCCCGTGGAAGTCTTCCCGACAAACGTTGCCGTCTTGCACGCCAGCCTCACTCAGCGCAGACGACGGATCCTGCTGCCCCTCACTCAGCGCAGACGACGAGCCTCAAAAAGGCGCACCTGAACTGCCGCTGCGCCTCGGCCTTCTCGTGGACACTCGACTCTGGCGAAAGCGCAAAGCAGCCATTCGCTCTCAGCAAGTGCACCTCCACTAGCGCGCTTCGTGCCAGTGGGCGAAGCGTACCCCAGTTGGTTAGCTGCTGAGTAACTTTCACACACACACACACAAACATAGAGCGCAACGGTGTTCGTCTCAATTCAAAGTATGTCTAAAGAGGCTCTCACATGGCCCTATGGCTGACAATGGCTGACAATTCCCCCCGTCAGTTGCTCTACAAAAATCAGGGGAAGTAGAGGCAAACAAAATTATGGTTACCTGCTATAGCGGAAACTGAATCCACTAAAAGCTGTGTAAGAGGAGGCAAACGGCTCGCAGAGGTGACTGGCAGCATATGTGCGGACGAATGACTTTGCACCTGATCCCTTCAATCCACAGACCTCCAATTTCCACTCTTTCCCTCTCTCTAAGTTCTGTCCACAATCAATCTGGTGGGATTCTAAATTGGTTGCTGGGAAGCCAAGGTATATCCGGTGAATGCAGCAAGTGCCTGATATTGCAAGAGGGGAATCGGGAACAAGGGGACTCCCGGGCTCGGTTGGTCCATTTACAATAGTCAAGGAGTCAACCATGTCAATTCTTAGTCCTCCCCAGGATTCCTCTGATTGCGTTCTCTTCTCGTTTCCCTTTCGAAACCCCAAATACTCCCCTCCAGATTCACATGGTGCTCAAAAGGCAAGTTCCCTTCTTTTTGGCACCATGTCGCTTTGCGTGCGGCAGTGTACCCTCACAAAAACCAGGTTCTTTCGGGAATCAACAGTCCCACGTGGCTCTGCATGGCTCCCTCCTGCGTGGTGGCGGCATCATGGCTGGCGCGGAGATCCTGCAGCCCGGCCGCCGCCGCCTGAATTATCTGCAAGCCCAAGGGAAGGCAGCTAGTGTCGTACCCTCCCCAGTCACATGGAGCCTGACGTTCCGGATCGGTCCTGGAAGATCTTCCTAAAGGGACCCCCGAAAGTCAGGCTCCATTGGTGGGAGAGTGCCCGCTTCGAGCTATTTACAGGAACAAAGAAAGGCCACCAGTGGGGTCCAACTAACCAGCCACACTTGGGTACGCGTGGGTTAAAAAACAAGCCCCCCCAGTGTATACTTAAAATTGATACAACTACTCCACATATCCACTTCTTCTAGGGTAAATATCATGCCAACCCCTACTCAAGAGGGGTTAAAGATTCAGTATTTACCATGGACAGCCGTATTCAAAAAAAGGAAAACACATGCTCTTGAAAAGGTGGGTGTTTGGAGTCTGTATATGTGTCTTATGTGTATAAACATGCATGTATACATATTATATATATATATAATATGTATATATATATACATATATCCTATATGTATACATCCGCGTTGATTCACTCATGCGTCGCAATAGGGTCGCAGACCCCCGGCCAAAACAACTTTCCTTTGAACCAATCCGCCCTCAGCCAGAAACACCTATTTGGGCATGAATCTCAACTGGGGCTTCGGTTTATAGATGCATTGTGAAGGTTAGTCCTCAAATCCGATGACTCCCCTTCTTCCTTATCTTGCTCGTGATTCAAGAGGGGAGCAGTGTGGTGGGATGACCGGCACTAATCCCGGCCAGCCTAAAGCTATCAGCTTGAAGCTTTCAGGTCCAGTCCTAGCTCCTTAGCCTGTCATGCCCAGTCCAGCTCATTCCAGCCGAGTTCAAGTTCCTCGCGGTCGCGTTGTGCTGCCCGCCAGACTGCTCAGCTCAGCCGGCATCATGCTTTCAGCTCTACAGCATGTGCCATAACGCGCGACAATGCCACCACAAGACACCGACAAAAGAGAGTTTGGAAAAGTAAGACCTGCCAATCTGCAAGAACAAGGGCACCATCAGCAAGCTCCCTGATTTTCAGCCCGTGGATGCCCTGGTATAATCGCAAAGGGAGATGTGCGAATCGGGTATTTCCGCATTTGAAGCCAATAGTGCAATGCACAAGGAAGTGCCACACTCCTCCGTGTGCACGTTGAGCGCACGAGGGCTGAAGTGCAATGTCAGCTGTCGCTGGCAAGACATCTTATGAACTGCTCCACATTCTGTCGATTTCAGTCCAGATCGAACGGCCGCTCTGGATTGGCAGGTGGGAGAAAAGCCCAACGGGGGCAAACCAGTCAGAAATCATCCGGTCGCTACCTCTTTGAACTGATTCGTCAAGGTCGTCCCACCTACCCCGCCACTCCCTCCACCCAGTCCCACCCCCAACCACCCCCACCCACCCCCATCCTCACCCCCGCACCCCCCCAACCCCACCCACCCCCACCCACCCCCACCCACCCCCACCCCCACCCACCCCACCCCCACCCACCCCCACCCCCACCCACCCCACCCCCACCCCCACACGCCCCCACCCCCACCCACCCTCACCCTCACCCCCACACACCCCCACACGCCCCCAGCCTACATGACCCTCCGCCTGCCAACATGAACAGCCCAGCCTCGCATGCTGCAACCGCCTCAGCCACGGAGGCCGCTGGACTGCTGCTGGTGCCTGGGAGAGTATGCTGTCTGCAGGGAGGCACGTACGCGTCTTTTTTGAGGGTACCCTTTGTGGCCTTGGTTTAAAGGGAAACTCAAAGGAAAACCCACCCTTTTTGGGATTCCTGACAAAGACACACCTACATGCAAACAAAACCAAATCACCGTGCCATCGAGGCGCCACGAGCTGCATAAGTACTCGGATGCTTCGCATGTTGACTGTAAACATCAACCCGCATGTGGGCGTGTGTTGTTGTTGAGGGTACACCTTTGTCTCGGTCGTTTTGAAGGGAAACAAACAAAAAACCCAACCCTTGCCCCCCCCCCAAGCCCCCCCAAGTAAAGGAGGGCTTCACGAACCTGATGGGGAGGGTGGATTTAAGCCGATCTAGTCAGGGTGGGGGTGGGGTGGGGGTGGGGGTGGGGTGGGGGTGGGGGTGGGGTGGGGGTGGGGGTGGGGTGGGGGTGGGGGTGGGGTGGGGGTGGGGGTGGGGTCCCCTAATTTTGAGGCACTGAGCTCCTGGCGTGCCAGGCTGCCAAGGTCTCCTGCCACCTGCAGCATGCGGTCCTGGGCGCTGCCAATTGCAGGGCTCACAACCTTTCCAAAGAAAGTCAAAGCGATGGACTTGGGAAATGGACAGAGAAAAGCAGCGATTTGAGTCTGAGCTGATTGCACTTGCATATTGGCAGGTCAACAACTTTTTGGAAATCCAAGCGTGTCTGTAGGGCAAGACGAAACCCGACCATTGCTTGGACCATGAAACGCAGGAGTCTACAACTCTTCAGAATCAAACAGCCAAAGCTTTGGGGGCTCCTTCGAAAACCCGTCGCCTTTTGCTTTGGACAATCAAAGAGAGACCAAGCAAACCATGGTTTGGTGCCAGAGTTTGGTAGTCAAAGGAAGGATTTGGGCTTTTAATTTCCCGTCGGAGTGTACTTCGCAACAAACAAGGCCATTTGGGTTTGGCGCGTTTAGGGAAAACCAACAGGAAAACCCTCAAACTTGGGGGGGAACATGAAGATCTCATATGGGCCTGCCTTTTGTAAGGGTAGCCTTTTTCTGGAGTTTAAGGGGAAACCGAGCAGAAAACCCAAATCCATTTTCCAGGGGTCCCCTAAAATACACACCCTGTTCGCTTCTCAGAATTCTGCACCAATTCCTTCAGCGTCTCCATTTAAGGCTTCCCCCCGGCACAACAAAAGGGAGACTATTTTGAGGAACCGCTTAGCCGTACGGCTATGGCTATATGCGGCTAGTAGACTTCCCCAAACCACTGCCCCCAGGGCAAACATGAGATCATATACCCTTCATAATATATTGGCTATATAGGGCCCGTATATTATATCCAGTTCAACCCATAGACAAGCCCACGACATCTCCCTTTCAGAGTCAATATCCCGACTCCACCCTGCTTCTATGTGTCCCACTAAATGGCTTGCAAAAGGCCCGACCGCAACCAATATTCCACCTGACGGCAAGGCTGGGCCTAGCTTCAAACAACTGCTTTGATGGCAGTCCTGCAGCTCATTCATCTCAAGCATCTGCTGCATGCAAGAATTGCAGGCACGTTGAAGGCTGCTGTCACCTATCGAAGACACGCAGCCTAGCTCACCTTCACTCTCCGTGCATCACAGCCTTCTACACCACAAAAGAGTCAGGGCACAGGCCTGTGAGAAACACACAAGTCGAAGGCAATGGCAATTGAGGCAGTAGCTCCTTGCTGCGCAAGCGCTACAAAAGTCCTGACCTCACTTGGATGGCAGAAGCAGGTAGGCTGGTTCTTTCTTGACGCAATTTGTTCAAAACAGCAGGAAGGGCCTTGATTTCAGGGTCAAAACGTACAAAGCCCAACTCGGGCGTTTTGAGCGACCCGGAAAGCCACGCAGCCACGCCTTTCATCTGTATGGTGCTCGGCGAGCAGGCGGCGCAGACGCTGAGGTGACACCTCTGATGGAGCTGTGTGCTGCTTGCAAGTCACCTCGAAGGCTCATGGATTCCCTACATTTGCTCTGACAAAGGAAACTCACCTGAACTGGCCCAAAAAGATGACGTTTAAACCAACCCAAAGGGGAAATATAGGGAATTGCGCTTCTTACAAATCATGTGGAAAATAAAAAATGAGTCAAGGGCCTTCATTTTGAGCTCGGGGAAGAAATCCTCCATGCCCAATGCGGTCTGCATTGGGATCAAAGGAAGAGCCTAATTGAAACACATCTGTCCTCATCCGCACCCCATTTGGGCAGGACCTTTGTGGAGGGTAGAAAATCGATTGTGAGGTCCCCCCCAATCTTGAAGATTTGTGCTTGCCAGCCACTTTTGAGGGGGCAACTCTTCCAATTCATAGCCCCTGTGGTCAAAGCAAGCCCAGTTACCCGCTTGCCTCAGGGACTGGGCTACAGACAAGGTTACCAGCTACCTGACACCTGTCTCTTTCAACCTTTATTTAGTTTGTGGTGCACGTGGGTTACAACCTGCCTATAAGAACGACCCCTGTCCTCCATCCAAATAAGACGACTGTAACTTATGCCCGAGCCCATACCTGACATGACCAAAAAACATTCAAGTAGCCCAAAGCCACCGGGTTTTCGCTTCTCAGCCCCCGGCAGGCGGCAGTGATGCCTGGGCCGCATATAGCGCTTGCCCAGCGCGAGGCTGCAGAGCGCGCAGGTCTCCGCGTTCTGGAACTTCACACCCTGCGGTGAGTTCCGCAACCAAAGCCCAAAATGAGAGGAGCTTCAAGGCGAAGGTTGGAGGGTCCAGGCTCGAGTTACGAAGTTCTCGTTCAACATGTTTTGTGGGTTGCAGGAATCAGAGCGGATGGAGGACACATCTTAGTGGTACTGGAGGCGAAGTGTTCAAAACTCTGCGTGTTTCTTTTTGTGATGGGGACGTGGCGAAAGGCGACGTCACACCAGTGCTCGGCCGTATTACCCAATGAGGCAAACGATATACCCTCCCGGATATGTCACAGACAAAGGGGGTCTGTGCACTTCTGTGTCCTTGGCAAACTAGCCAAGAGGGGGCGCCCGTATATTTCGAAGTGGTCTTGCCACACACTGCCGCATATTGCCAGGAAGGATAAATTCCTGATAAAGCTGTACCCCACTCTGTTTAGGCACCTCCCCCATTTTGCCATAGGCTTAAGCCACTCTACTCACTCTCTCTCTCTCTCTCTCTCTCAAAGAGAAATTATAGACTGGGACAAAACAGGAGCCTTGATCCTAGCGTTGTTTCCAGAACTACCAATTAATATCAAGAATCACTGCCAAGATAGATGTTTCGAATTATAGCTTGGAACCAGCACGGCACCTTGGAACCCATTCTTTTCCTATGGGCCCCTGCCCACCAAAGCGGCTTCGGTTTCGAACTCGGGCCTGGGAGTCCAGCGAGTGGGCGCTCACAGTCTTGGCGATGCCATCCTATCGATTCAAATGGAAGAAAACTGCGGCAGGTCTCCGAAAAATAAGAAAATAACAACTTCAATCAGGTTGGTTCAATTGGGTCCATTCCAGTCCAACGGAACTTTGGAAAGGGTTCAATCGGGCCCAAACATTGGAAACTCCGATTGTGCTAAGGAACCAAAAGCTAAGGACAGGTCTTCCACGCCAAACTTGGTGGTTTCCGCTTGAGTCAGACATGGTCTCCATGTTGGCAACTTGTGGTCCATTTCCAACGAGCTGTGCGCAACTGCCGTTTGGGGTTGAGAAGCCGCCCCCAGCAATCCAAACCACCAAGCCAAGAGAAGCTAAAACGGCTCAGCAGGCATGTCTCTGCCTCTGTCACCGCCGTCATGGCCTCCGACACCTCGCGCGTTGCCTCCTCGCCGAAAGGATTGCCGGCCTGGCACCAGAAAGAAGGCTCCCTATTCTGAAACAGTCAAAATCCGCCGACGCCAGTCGAGCATGTAGATGGCAGTCCGCAACTTGGTCTTCCTTCGGAATCTCTTATCAAAGGCGTTTGCTGTTATTTTTTGGGCATGCTGTGCTAAGTGCCCAAAACCTGTATTTGTCCAGTGTTTTTGGGTCTTTCGTCTGTGTTTCGCCTAGGTCTCTAGGGGGGGGGGGTTTCTCGGACGCGCAGGATCTGCATCCCCTGCATCATCAGGATTATCTTGTTGCCATGACTTTTTTTGCAGATACTAGTGGTGTTTTGTTGTTTCAAGCGATGTTGGAGTTGGCCTGTTAGGGGTTTGGGTGGGGTCAAGTGCAGTGATACTTTGACGAACTCCCCTGCATTATCGTGCTTTTGGAAGTCTATTCTTAGGGTATTCGAGGGGGGTTGCGAGTATAGGTGTTTGATGGTTGCTTTTAGGAAATATCGAAAAAAATGTTTTTTGCACTTTTTTGTGGCTAGCTGGCTGCATTCCCAGCATTCCCCACATCCCTTGTATTTTATGTGTTTGGTCAATGTTGCGTGTCTGAAAGTCCTAGAATCTTGAGCGCGAAGATTGGGTCTGTTCCTGTATGTTGTGTGGTTGCATCCCTTGCACTTCCAGCATCCTCAGCATCTGGGACATGAGAAACAGGCCTTGTTGCATTATACAAAAAATGGGGCCTTGCTTTTATGCCCTTTCGGGGGCGGTTTAAAGAGTAAAACATCTTTTTCCTTACCCCAAACTCGAGTCCTTCCACGTGTTAAGAGCCCCATGTGACCCAGGCAAAAAAACATCTTGTTCCTTACCCCAAATTCAAGGCACCTCACAGGGGCGTTGTTTGCTCTCCTTCCACAGGGGCGTTGCTTGTTCTCCTTCCAGGCGTTAAGACGCCCACGTGACCGACTTCAGAAGGGCGTCGCTTGGTCTCTTTTCACTTGTCAAGAGCCCCATATGACCTAGGCAAAAAAGCGTCTTTTTCCTTACCCCAAATTCGAGGCACCCTGCAGCCGACGTCAGAGGGGCGCTGTTTGTGTTCTCCTTCCACAAGTTAAGAGCCCCATTTGACCTAAGCAAAAAGACGTCTTTTTCCTTACCGAGGCACGCTGTAACGTGTTGAGGGAGAACAGACAACGCCCTTCTGACGGCGGCTGCAGAGTGCCTCGAATTTGGGGTAAGGAAAAAATGGTTTTGCTTAGGTCAAATGGGGCTCTTAACTCGTGGAAGGAGAACACAAACAACGCCCCTCTGACGTCGGCTAAGAGCCCGATGTGACCTAGGCAAATAGACGTCTTGTTCCCGGCCCCAAATTCGAGGCACCCTGCAGCCGACGCGTTGTTTGCTTTCTCCTTCCACGCGCTAAGAGCCCCACTTGACCTAGGAAAAAAATAGTCTCGGATCGCTACGTAGCGATTTCAATAACAATAAAAGGAAACAGCGGCCATGGTATTCGCCTGACTTTGACCCAAACCGCAAGGGACATGGGAAAGCAAATCGAAAATCAGCCAGCTCGCTGGAGGAAATCCAAAGCTTGATGATGCTGGTGATGCTCGTGATGCTGGCTGTATCACCTCATTTGCATCACCTGCATCATCTGCATCACCTGCATCTCCTGCATCACCTGCAGCACCTGCAGCACCTGCAGCACAGCGCCTGCAGCCGTGTGACCAAACGAGCGGCCCTGACAGGCCAAGATCACGACACCTTTTGAACTTAAACATCCAAAGTCTCAAGAATTTGGGTCGGCCTTCAAATCATACTGGCAACACCGGTGTGTTATACCAGTGTATGGATCTACAGCGCCACTGGATTTGATTCCTGAAATTGTTGAAACAGGCATCAAAACGCTGCCAAAGCCTTGCTGAATTTACCGCAGTCTGTCCCTAAAGGTCTACCCGCCAAAGCCCATCCTGCGAAGCCGGAAACGTGGAATTTCTGGGTGTGAGAGCAAAACAAGAACTGCCGGCCCGCCTGCACTTCGGCTGAGAAGGGATTCTCGGCAGCCTCCTGGCAGAAAGTGTGGAGAAAGGCACGCCCCAGCTGGTCTTCAATTCTCTGATTGGGAGATACAGTCTCTAAGTTCCCACTTGCGGCATGTTCATTTCGAGTAAAGAGGTGCATTTATTTCTGGCACAAATATGGACCAGCAGAGAAAATATGACTGGACCACAAGCGTAACATACTCCGGATGTCTGTCAAAGAATCGCCACAGGCAGGAGGAACAGCCATCGGGGAAACAAAGGAGCAAGCAACAACATCACGACCCAGCCATGCCGGCACTCCCGACATCTGGCTTCAGGCTAAGCAAAAGGAGATTTTACTTGGCAGAATTAGCAAAGTGATTGAGTCAGATGAATGGCAGCCTACCATGGAGCCAGACTCAACACGGGAATTTCTTTCTGCACTGGAAAGCCGCTCCGAAACGTCGCGGCGGGCATGAACAAGGAGCGTCGTTCGACATCATCAAGTTTACCCATTGCCGATCGTGCCTTCCAACTTAGCTTTAGAGCTCGCATCAACGAATGCAATCTTGTTGGGTGGTTGTCCAAGCGGGGCACCCCCAAAATGGCGATCGTCCTTTTGGAATTCCAAACAACTCATTGACACACAGGTTTTGGGTCGCCTACCCGAGCGCAACACGACAGCCTCATCCTCCGCCGCGAAGGGGTTGGGTGGATCTGCCGCTCCCTCGAAGGGGTTGGCCATCACCGCAAGTCTCACTGGCTCTGCTCAGTGAGAAAACCAGTAGTAGCTTGTGTGTTGTCAAAATTAGGGCTCCTGTTTGGTATCTGTTTTGAAAGGCGGGTCATATGTAGTGCCCCCCCCCCAGTTGTCCCTTGTGCGATCAACGTGGAAGTGGCTGCAACAGTCTGCCGAGGTTGAAACAGCATCTGCGTTCCTGCAATGTCATCTTACTTTGACTATCAAGAGGGCCTTGCGTGGCATAGCACCCCGAGCACGCTCCGCCGGCTCATGATGCATGATGCTCTGGGAAAAATAATCAAGCTGCAGATGCGGCCCGGGTGACAAGGGATCACTGCACGGAGAAGGAAATCTGGGCGTGCAGCAAAAACTTGCATCTGTCTCCAAATTGAGGAACCTCAGAATGGGAAGTTGCCATTTGGTGCTTCTTCACAAAAAACAACAAAACCTAACCACCATCAAAAAAGACAACACGCTTGTCTGCTCGCGCCTTTCACTAGACATTCACGTCCTTTCTCACGCCACTCGTGTATTTCACACTTCGAGTGACAATTCACATCGACGGCACACGCTGAGCGTATTTCACACTCATTCGCGTGTCAATTCACATCAAAGGCGAAATCTTCATCATCCTCGGCGCATTCGAGTTCACTGCTCAAGCATTGCTTGTGTGTATGTGTGTGTGTGACCTTGGCTAACTCGGGTGTAGATAGGTTCTCGGATGCTACACACATGTGTGTCCTTTGGTTCAAGCTGGACGTTTCTTATCCGTTCAGCGGATGAGGCTACCCCGCATCAAGGCAAGGGCAGCTTCAACCTCCGTCCAATTGTTTCATTGCACTCGGGAAGTCTTCACCTCAAGCGGAAAGCAAACAACCGGTTCAAGCGGGTTCTGAGATGGCGTCTGCTGCACTTTCCGAGATTCAATATGGATAGACCATATCCGGGGACGCCACGTGGCCAAAGTGCGTTGTTTGTTTCATTGTTAAGGCACCTTGTTTTTGGCCCCGATTGTACGTAAACGCGCACTCAACGCGCGGCCACCCCCACGGAAAATCGCATTCATGCTCGTTTTTATACACGTTTTCATAGGGTTTGCTGCCACAGGCCCAGGGGGGTTTCGGGGGGTTTGTGGGGGGTGGGGGGTTTCCGGAAAGGTGTTTGGGGGGGTTTCGGGGGGGGGGGGGTTGGGGGGGTTTGGGGGGGGTTGGGGGGGTTTCGGGGGGGTTCGGGCGGTGTTACCGTTCAGGACAACCTGCGTGTTTGCATGCGCCATGTTGACCGGAGTTCAAGATCGCTTGACATAAGGGGTTCTTACACATGATCAGCATGCAAACAGCGAATCACGCTGATTGATTTCTACATGTCCTTGCATCAAGTGCACCATGGCTTGTTTCGTCCGTGGGCTGGAACTGCACTGGACAATTATGCCCAGTTCGTGACGCAGCTGCCGGTCAATGAGTGGTGCCCACTCACCGAGATTCATCAAGCCGCATCCGTGCTGGCTTGGACAGCCAGTATCTCTGAAGAACATTTAGGCAGCTTGGCCTCGTTGAACGTGATCGAATTCAATTCACGCAGAACTCATGTTCGCATTCCGCTGAGCTCATGCGCTCTGGCGCCAGTGACGCCGCCAACTAAGCCCATACCCGCTGCTTGTCCGTTAATGAAAAGCTTTGGCCTGGGCAGGGTGATTTTTGTTGGAGTCAGAAGCAAAGAAAGCTGATTTTCCGGGGGCGCGTTGGCAGCTCAATGACTCAGGTGCTGGACAGCCCTGAGATCAAGGCCTACGCGCTGCCATCGATGTTCACTCCGGCGAGAGGCTCGAGGATTGAAGCTGACAGCCCCGCATGAATGGAAGGAGCCTGCCAGGGATTCTCTCCATTTGCGTTGTGGCTGCGGTGCGCTTTCTTGGTCTCCATCAAAACTGCATTGGACCAAATGGTGCACATGATTCCTGATGCGCAGAACCCCATCGGCATTGACTTGATCAGAAAGTGGTTTCATGGCATGCGCATGGCCCTGGCGTTCCAGCAGACGCACGTGCAGTCCAGTGTTCAGCTACGGAACGAAATAGTGGAAGCCGACGGCTCCTCCACCATGACTTGCCGGGCTTCATCCAAGGCGTGGCACCTGAAGCGCAGAAAGCGCAAGCTGAGCCAAGCACAGAGAACTGCTTTGGAAGTGCGCAAGAACAAGCTGAAAGCTGGTGGCTTTGCTGCGCGGGTAGCTAACAAAGCTATGGCCCATGGCACTCGAAAGAAAGTGGTGCACCACGGAAGAATGCTGTGGGTGGCCGGCCGTTTCTCAAGAAAATGTGTAGCCTTCCACTGCAACTCTGCAGGGGGCGCCAAGCCCAGGTGAAGATTTGAAGGTGTGCGGCGGGGCTTGCAAAAGTATGTCAGCTCAGACAGCTGCATTGGTGCGACAGACTCGGCGCCGGCATTGCTGAGTGGCTTCCGCAAAGCTGGAATGCCCGTTGTAGGAGCACGGCACTACCTAGAAAAAATGTCGCCCTTCAAACCAATCCTGAAGTCTGCATGCACTGCTAAGCAGGGCAAATGCTTTTGAAGGCTTCGAAGGGACAGCACAAAGCAGCGCTGAATCAAAAGAGGCAATTCAAAGTACTGGCTGGGGACAACATGTGCGAAAGCCGCATAGCAGCTACGAAACTGCAGCTGCGTCGACAAAATCGACTGGGACGCGGCAGCCCAGCGGACGCTCATGTAGATCAGTTGTCGGCCATGCGTTTGCTGGAAGCACCTGGTCTCCAGAACTTGCTTGAAGCCTGCGCCTTGCTGCGGAAATCTAGGTCTCCGAAATGCTACATGGACCTAAGCCAAGACAAAGCCTGGCTATGGGATTAGGTATGAAAACGTGGATGAAAAAGACCATGGCGGCTGCCTGCTAAGGGGATTCACACATCCTGGGGCGCGCGTTTGCGGCCAATCGGCGCGTTGTTTTTGTTATGGGAGTGCGTGAGTCCCCAAGTTTTTGTTGAGTCCTGTCCCCAAATCAAAATAGACTGAATTTACCAAATACATGAAGGCCAAAGCTTCGATCTCGGACTCCTCCTCCTCGGCCGCAAAGTCTGGATCATCCTAACATGGGACCCTCGCGCTTAGCCAGGGGTCACCGCCCGGTTCGAGGATGGCTGGCTCACATGCGGGTTTCTCTCATAGGAAAAAACCCAAACAGGTGCCCTTTTGCTTTCCCTCACCTCAAGAAGCTTTGCCCTCGCAAAAAGACGAGCCACGTGTGTTTTAACACACCAGTCCTCGTCCTCGCTATTTGCCTCCGGCTCATCCTTCTCAACGGGCCGGGAGCTCTGTGGCTCCAAGTCCTCCATGAGTACCTCGCAGAACGGATGGGGGCTGAATTCACATGGGGTTGTACCAAATGGAAAAGGGGGCACGGAAATAAACAGCTTGCAAAACAAAGGGGACTAAACCAATTCACCACCTCATGGGAGAATCAAGCTTGCAATTTAGCTCCTCAGGACAAATCCCCGGCATTGTCCTGACCTCTTCAAGGGTTCAATGATGCTTAGGGAAGGATGATTCATCCTGAACATGAGGCTCCAGAATCCAAAAGTCCGGAACCTTCACCATTCCGCCGGCTGGGCGCACAGGAGTCTTCCCGGAGGCAGCAGCGGCTTTTGTTTGGCTCCTGGCAAGGCCGCTAACAGAATAGCCAAGACCGAGGGACAGACATGAGTATAATACATATACACATATGAATATACATATACACACAGGCATATACATATATATATATGTCAATCACTTACAGATCAGATGGTCTGAACTCTGAGTAGCAAAGTGCTACAGCGACTTTGGGCGTGCCAATAGTTCTCGAGGCGAAGGAGCTGGGAGCCTTGCATCTGTTGATGGGACACGATGGCAAGCAGAAAAACCAGCCATGATCTTCCCATGGCTCACCCCGAACATACATCATGAAAGCCCTACTGTGGGTCTGAATCCGAATTTGACACGCTGAAGAACTGTGTGGCCTACCAAATCAATGCAATCTAAACCTTGCCCCGACAAGCGCTCAAAGCAACAAGAGTTCAGCGAGGGAAGCAAAGCGCGAAAGAGGTGCCGCCTTTGAAAGTTCAACGGCGCCGGCCAACAAGGATTCTATACTACCTCCGCAACTATTACCGCCGGCCCGGCCAACCACTTCAAATATCCGTGTTAGTTACGTACAGTGCAGTCATGTGCAGTCTTTCTTGAAAGGTTGCCTTCGGCCCAGCTCACCTACTCAGACATCCGGTGAAGGCGAGCTGAAGGCGAGCTGAAGGTTGAGGGGTTGGATGGCTGCAAGGCTAAAAGGCTGGAGGGCTGGAGAGCTAGAGAGCTGGGAGGGCCGGACGCCCTATCCCCCCTACCGCCCGTACCCTGGAAATGTGCGCAGAGCCAATTGTCCAGGACTGCCAAGGCTTGCCAGGGCTGGCAGCTAGGTCTCCAGCAAAAGCTGGAGTGTGAAAAGAACACGCTGCTCACGAATGCTCCTCCAGTCTCACTGGGAATTTGCAATTTGGAGGGTGGGTGGGCTTGGGATCTTTTCATGGTATTGAACTGGTCTACCCAACATGTAAAGAATCAAAAGGGAGGCCGCACCTGATTGTGATTGTCCCTCAACCTTCACTTTCCCGGGTTTTGATTGTGGCTCAGGCCCTTTGCTCAAGGGCTGGAGAGGTAAGGAAAGGGGGATGTATGCCCAAGAGCTGTTCAAGCAAGACGTATTTACAGGCTCAAAACATGCAAAGTTCAGGAAGTACGTTTGACCCTCTTGCAAAGAAAGCCCTGTTTCCTTCCAACAACCATCCACTGGCAATCTTCACATTTGAGTTGATTCCCCAGTGATAGTTTGAGGGTCCAGGCAGTTATCTGTAAGTTGTACCATCATTCTCCCTACCCACTTTTGTCAGCGGTTAACATGTGGGCAAACCTTTCCCAGCCCGTCCTCGTGACCGCGCGCCTCTTAGCCTCACTGCGAGGCTCAGTCCATCAGACTGAAAACGACCTTCGTGACCATGGGGCGAAAACACAAAACCGTGTTCTAGCTGACTTGACAAAGCCCTAAGGGTCGAAGTCTCAACAAAAGGAACAAGGGCACCACTGGAGGTTTGGGTCCAAGACTCGACAAACACCTGCTGATCTTGCGAGGGCGTTCCCATAGCACGGCACATAACGCAACTCTGGTCACGGCCAGAGATGGAAGGAGAGCCAGGCAGCTTCAGGTTAGAAGTCCGCATAAGTCTGGGCATGTAGAGGTGAGCGTGCCGGGCAACGTATGTTTGCAATGGTACAAGTCCTTTCCCCAATCCATGTCTCTATGTCTCGTGGATTCGAGTATTTCCCACTTGCGTGGCCCTTGAAAGTTCACAAACATGTCATTCGGAAGGCCTTCAAGCGGTTCAGTGGGCAATTCCCACCTTTGCGGAAAGCGGCCAGTCTGACGGCCTGGGGCTGCCACTGGGCGCTGGTCTCCCTCGACCTCGTAGTCTGGGTCCGCCTCCTCGTCGTCCTGTGAGTGAGAGGGCCCAAACCCAGGCGCAAAAAATGGCCCGTGACTCTCGGGAAAGGGAAATGCCAAGTACCCGACTCAAGATTCAGGAAGGAAAGCAACGAGCTTCAAGGACCTTCAGGGTTCCCAGAATGGCTTTGAGCACCGTTTTGGCTAGACCTTCATGGATTGCCCACATGAGCTGGTCTCCCAATGACGACCTCCCCAACATGGGGTGATGCTCTCTTCCCCGCAAAACAACCCCACAAAGGACACCCTAAAACAGGGACACACCGAAGTGTTGCAAGCGCGCCAGTCACGAATCATGGAAGGATGAAGGGGTTGGTTCTTGTCGCCTACTTTTGTTCTTTGTTGGGTCGACCGAAAGCGGATTGCTTGATGAGGGGAACAAACGGAAACAGCAAAATGACACAGGCCACCCACTCTACTACCCGCACACGGTACGCAAAATGGGAATTTGGACACCCGTTCGTGCGGAGAGCGCACAGCGGAGACTTCGGAACAGGTTCTCCTGTTTGGACAACTCAGAGGGTCCCTTGGTACGTCCTGAGTGAGGATGGTTTTTGGGGGGGAAAACGGCTCCTTTGGCACCTCCTTAGTACCACCGGATCCTCTGCGCTAGGAGGTTCATGGCACTTGACTTGCTATGACCAAGGCAGAACCTGATCAGCATGGCCAGCATGCTCCCCTTGAATGCCTGCAAGGCTCAGAACTTGCCTGCACCAACCAAGGCTTTCAGGGTAAAAAGAGGTTGAGCCCAAGGTGCGCTTGGAGAGTGTATCACCGAAATATTTCGAAGAGAAGGGGTACGTTGGGGTCACAGATCTCCAGTCCTCGCCAGACACGTGCTTCGGGACACCTGGCGAGTGTCGAGTCGCGGTTTCTTCACCCCATTCGTTCTCGGAACCCTAAGGTTCCAAGAGGCGCCATCCTGGGGCCACCTTTGCTTTCCTCTGAAGGCTTTAGATGGGATCAGCGAGCAAGAACTGTCAACGACATCCAAGCTGCTGTCCTGGACCCCCCACGCCCACCCAGCCAGCCAGCCGGCCACCCACAAACACACACACACACACACACACACACACACACACACACACACACACACACACACACACACACACACACACACACACACACACACACACACACACACACACACACACACACACACACACACACACACACACACGCGCACGCACACTTACAGGCACACGCAAACGCCTTACGGGCGCACGTCCCAACAGCTACATGCACATAGACGGCTAAAGTTGGTTTGTCCAAGATGGCCTCCCAAATCCAAAATACTCTGGTAACCTTGAAAACAGCTGATTTGATGGTTTTCACTTCATCGGCAATGTCTCCCCAAATTCAAAGCAGGGCTGTTCAAAATTGGAAAGCCTCACTGTCACTGTCAGACTTCGGCCACCCCCGGCCTCCACCGTTGGATTGATGGTGCGCCACCAAGGTGGAAAGGTAGGCCAGCAAGGCCGTCACATCTGCACCTGGCGCAAAAGGCCCCGTTTGAAACCGCGGTGGTTGGTGCCTTCAAATTGGAACCTGCCCAAACTTCATGCCAGCGCAGTAAGCCTCTCGTTTCTGTCCCCCCTACCTCTACCCTTAGGCATTTTTTGGTCCCAAGGCCCAGGTTGGCTATGCGTCAATTCGTCAAAACCGGGGATCCCGGGCTCAAGGTAAGCCTCAAGAAGACCGTGGGCCTGCGAGGTTGGAGAAGATGTGGGGCGTGGTGTTGCTGATGCGGTGGATGATGAGGTCCCCCCCGCGGGGCCCGTGCCCAGACCCTGCTTCCGCGTGCAAGATGTCCTCAACGGCGCATCAGCTTTTGGGTGCAGCGGAACACCCACATTTAGTCGTGAACACCTGCAGGTTTGTTGGCATGAAGGTGCTCGGAACGGTCCAAGCCACACCTCCCAACGTAATTTGCGGCTCTTGTTTGCTGGGACAGCGAGGGTACCTTTGTAAAAGGCACCGAAACACACGTCGAAAGTCTACCCCCCCCTTTGCAGACAAGCTCTGGCCGTCCCTTTCTGTCTCACAAGCAGTCGACTTGAGACTGAATGTGAGTGCAGTCCCCGCCCGCAGAAGGATCGCCCCATGTCACAACAGATCCAGATTCCAGAATGGCAGCAAAAGCACAGTCAGCAGCTTGGATCTGCTGGACACGCACCAACTGCTCTCGAACGTGCCAGCTGTTGCCACCAGTGTGTGGATGGCCCCAGGAGACAACAGAGCCATCCTCCATGATGGCAGCAAAAGCACCTTGAGTTGCTTGGATACTCTGAGCACCCACCAACTGCGCTTGCACCTGGCTGCTGACACCGCCTCTTCTAGCATTGCCCCAAGTAACTACAGAGCCGTCGTCCCGGATCGCAGCAAAAGCGCTATCAGTTGCTTGGATCTGCTCGACCCGCACCAGGTGCTCTCGCACCTTGCTGCTGTCACCGCCATGCATAGGATCGCCCCAAGCTACCACAACGCCGTCTTCCCGAACACCAGCAAAAGCAAAGCAAGTTGCTTGGATCTGCTGCACGCGGAACAATTGCTCTTGCACTTGACTGCTGTCTCCGCCGAACTGAGAATTGCCCCAAGTCACAACAGAGCCATCGTCGCGAATGGCAGCAAAAGCACCGCCGGCTGCTTGGATCTGCTCGACATGCGCCAACTGCGCTTGCACCTGGCTGCTGTCCCCCCCTTCGTCAGGAGCCCCCCAACTCACCACAGAGCCATCTTCCAGGATGGCAGCAAAAGAAAATGCAGCTGCTTGGATCTGCCGGACCCGCACTAACTGCGCTTGCACTTGGCTGCTGTCTCCGCCATCGTCAGGAGCACCCCAACTCACCACACAGCCATCGTCTCGGATGGCGGCAACAGCACTTCCGGTTGTTTGGATCTGCTGGACCCGCAACAGCTGCTCTTGCACCTGGCTGCCGTCACCACCATATTTAGGATCACCCCATGTCACCACAGAGCCGTCTTCCAGGATGGCAACAAAAGCACCTTCAGTTGCTTGGATTTCCCTCACGTTCTTTAGCTGCTCTTGCACCTGACTGCTGTCTCCTCCATGATGTGGATCGCCCCATGTCACAACAGATCCAGATTCCAGGATGGCAGCGAAAGCATCGGCAGTTGCTTGGATTTGCTTGACACGCACCAACTGCTCTCGCACCTGGCTGCTGTCACCACCAAATTCAGAAGCACCCCAAGTAAGCGAAGCAACATGGCAAAGGGCAAATGCCCTGCTAGTGGAAGCTAGTTTTGGAAGCTGCACGATGGCATCAACGGTGTCCCCGTCTTGCACGCCAGCCTCACTTAGAGTAGACCATAGATCTAGTGGCTGGCCTCGGAACACAAGCCTCAAATAGCGGCACTGGAACTGCAGTTGCGCGTCAGCCTTGAGTTGGCTGACGCTTGACTCTGGCGGCAGTGCAATGGAGCAGCTCTTCCCACTTGCCAAGCAAACGTCCACTTGAAGTGCCATTGCGGGTGAGGCCAGCAATCAACTGCCCTGGAAGTTCAATTTCCCAGCTGAAGACAGCGCAGGAACAGTCAGCTTGCTAATGTTGATTTGTTTGTTTGTTTGTTTGTTTGCTTGCTTGCTTGCTTGCTCGCTTGCTTGTTTGCTTGCTTGCTTGTTTATTTGTGTCAAAACAGAATCATACTGGACAAGAATAGTGTAGTAGTTGTTCAATGTGCGAAACCGTTTCCGGAATCACAGTGTGCATCCAGGTGTGCAACCATGTCTGACGGAACTGACGCGCTAGAGTCGCATGGTCAGTTCATGTGGAGGGTTGTCACAACTTTCCTGAAGCCCTTTGGAGCCAACATGAAGCCTTGTTCTCTCAGCCTCCCCCCTCTCCTCCCACCCACTTTGTGCACTCTGCCCACTTTGGCTTTCCGTTGGCCTTTTACGTCATGATCAACGTGGGTCCTAATTTGTTGCAACCCTTTGATTTGTAAATTTCATGTTTTGCACCCTTTGTCCAGTCATCTATGGGACTCACCATTTCATGGTGTTTCCCATTCAAGGCTCATGGACCTACTTTGTCCTCAGCCGTGCCTCCCTACCCTTGAATGGCCAGCACCCAAGGCATCATTGCTCATGTGTATCGCGTGACATGACCCCATGGCCACAAATCAGTGCGCAAGGGAAGTTCTAAGCACCCACTGAGGCCGGCTGATTCCCTGAAGTTCACAATGAGGCAACCAGCACGACCTTGTAAGGTGGTTTACGGTTGGAGTGCTTGCAACATGTAGGACATCCACAATCACTCCACGGTCACAGATTTGCAGACTCCAAAGCAGTTAGTTTTCCAGCTTTTGCGATTCAAGGTCTGCGTTTGTCGACTTGAAGCCCGTTCCAAGTCGGCCCTAGCGGACTCAATTACATTCCCCAACCCTGACGATGAAGAGCATTCCGTACCACAGTGAGCTCACCGGAAAGGAAATGCCTGGCTGATGCTCAAACAGATACAATGCTGAGTAAAACGAGCAATGAGAAGCAAGTGTCACAACTTGAAAACATGGACCCCTCCCTGGTTCCTTGAGGTGCGCACACTCACGCGCCCCTCTTGCGCATCCACTATTGCATTGGGCGGTTGCGGTCGCATGACGCACGGCCTAGAGGTTCCGACCAAACTTCGCCCAACCCAGCCTCTCTGAGGTTTGTTTTGGGCAAGCTATGGATTCCCCGTGCAAAGTGCTAGAAGAATGCTAATCAAGGTTAAAAGAGCACAACAATTGGGGGAACCCACAGTTGCGGCATGTAACGTGTTATCGATCTCACATAATACGCAGAGTTCGCGCATCTCCAATCCTCTCCTTCGCGGGCATGAAGATGGCAGGCTTTGGCAGGAAGCAGAGACCCACGCTAAGGGGGTAAAGCACGCCTTCCTCGGTTGCCCACGGCCACAGCAAGACCCCCTGAAAGCATGTCAGAAGACCTCCCAAGATGGCATATTGAGTCCTCACATGGTGCTAAGTGAATTTCGATTGGGCGGATAAAAAGAGAACCACAAAAAAAACACATCACACCATACAAGCCGGAACGCCAAAGGCATCGAACGCCAAAGGCATCTAACTCGCCGAGCTACCTCCACACCCTTCCAAGCTTGGATGCCCTCAAGGGCACACACGGACGGAGCAGGCTCCACCTGGCTGGCCCAAGCTGGTGGAAAAGTTTGGCACTGTGGAGTCCGAGTGGCAAAGCAAAGTACCCAGAGCCTGATGATTAGAAGTTGAGGTCGAGCCGAAGCACTCATCACCAACATGTACACGCCGGGATCAGCGGATCCTACGCTGGTGATGTTGAGGTAGTCTCATCCTTTGGCAAGATGGCAAAGCTGATGTCACAAGAGGGCAATCCACTAGCAACAAACAAAACATTCGATGCTACTTCACATCAGCAGAAAAAGATTGCAGTGTTGAGGGCAGCCTTCTCGGGTTGGCTTTCAGGGCAACCAATCGGAAATTCCCGGGGCCCACAATTGTGGGGGGGGAGAGGCTACTGAATGAGAATGGCGAGATAACGGCCACAAAATTGAATCATTGATTTCCCAGATCTGCTTGCACCCCTACATCAGAGAAACTTGCCCCCTTTCCGAATTTGGTATTTCATCGGGGAAGGAGAAGACTGCAAACAGATATCAAACAGAACGTTGGATCGCTCTCAGTGAATTGGGTTGCAGGAGCGTTGGGCTCTTGCCGAAAAAAAAGGGATGACGCAACCTGCCTTCCTAGAGCCTCACGCTCCTGCAAGCCCTTTCAGACACCGACCCTGCCATCCGCCCGGGCCGGCAAAAGGCCCGGAACCACCGCCCGATCCCCGGTGCCTTCTCAATGCCCCTGCCAGCTTCCAGGACTTGCGAGAGCACCTGGACCGACTTCTCAGCATCTGTGACAAAGCCCACGCCGCAAGGCAGCAGTTGAGTCACAATAAACGCCCGGTATTGAAGGAGCCTAGCCGAAAATGCAAAGTAAAGCAAAACTCATGCGAACCAAAATGAAAGCAAGGCAGCTTTGACCTGTATTAATAGCAGCTAGCTGTTACCGTAATCATGCTTCCTGTTTGGTGCAAATCCCTTCATCCAGGGCACTCCAATTCTTCGACTTGCGAGGACACATCATATGCAGCCGCAAGATCCGACTACACGGGCCGATGGCAGCTGAAAGCACGGGCGCTGCTTGCCCGGCGGAGTTCAAAGGTGCCACATCCAAATGCAAAGGTCTACGCGGTCCATCTTTTTAATCCTTGTGCCTGCGGCGCCTGAACCTTTGTCAGACTGTCAAACAACCAGCCAGGCCACCACATCTTTGTGCACCCGCCCGCAGCTTCACTCTTAACGAAATGCCGAGGCAAGGCAAGTGGCAAGCAAAACGAAAGCTCCCACAAAAGGCAGCGTAACTTGTCAAGTGTGCTTAAAAGCGCTGACGCATTTTCTCGTCGGGACAGTCCTCTTCTAACCTTTCTCTACCTGGGTGTTGATTCTGGCTCGGTTCGGATGAATGAAGCCCTATGAATACTAGGGCACACCACCTACCAATTGGTGCAAAGTCGATTTCTCCATCCACGGTCTGAGTGAAGATGGTTCAAGGATTAAACAAGGTCAAAGTACTTCCTATGGAACCAAAGGGACCTTGGGCGTTGGCGAAGGCCCTTCTAAATTCGACTCCCGGAGTCCCGCCCAAGGTGCGGAAACCAACGGCCCGACATCCCAAAGACCCGGAAAGGACTTTGGAGTTCCTGACTTCTAAGAAGCGTCCTGCAGGTTGTCTCTCCTTAGCAACAAGGAAACCTCTGGGCTTCAGTGGACGGAATCTGTGGCGGTGGCTTCCCATCAACATCAGTGGCCATTGCCAGTGTAATGCTGCAAACAACAGGGGTCTTTACATGTCCAACTCAAAAGTACTGCCCTGCCAACAGAACACTCGTTTAAGAACATGGCGACCAGAATGTGACGGTCCAGTCGTCCAAAGCAGAACATTTGAGCTGGGTTAGACTTCCACTCTCTCATTCAAACACATAAACCTATAATTATTGAGCAACCACTCATGTCTCGAAAAGTTTTAAGGAACATGATTCCAGTTCGTGTTCAACAAGCCCTTTCCCCGAAAGCTTGAAGAACATCCAACCTGAACCGCCGCTGGCCGCCCACCTCGTGCTCAGCCTGGCCCTCCGCGGAGAGAGCCTCGCAGAGAGGGCCATGGGCAGCTGAGTGCTTCTCAACATGGTAAACCCTTTGGGAAAACCAAAATCAAAACGCTTGGCCCACTTAAAAGGGCAAATTTTGAATAAACCCCTTTGGTTGGTTGAGTTGTTGGTTGGTATACCAAAATGAACCGTTGTCATAGGGGATTTGAGACGATATACGAATCAGTCCTTCGCTCTGATGTAGAGACTGATGTCATGTTGAAAGATACCAATTTGAAATCAAATCGAATTGCATATTTGATTGCACAGCTTGAACATGTTGATGAAGAAACAATTATTGTTGTCAAATTATTAAGGGAAAGAAGCTTTGAACAATACAATTCAAACTCAGCTTTTACTCATACTTAAATAGTAAGATATGAAGACAACTCCTTTGAAGAACTTTAGATCGAATACGATGCTTATTGTGAAGAAGAAAAGTATGCTGATGATGTGATACTGATGCTAGAAAGGTCACTCATAGAAGACACAAAGTATAATTGCATTTCTTGATGACACATGTCCATTTTAACATATTCTCTTCAACTATATATTTTGTTTACATAAATACATGGTTTGTCTTTTACTTTCTGGCCAATATCCAATCTATAGGTTTGCTCTAAAAAAAACATCAGTTTGAGAAGGCCCCATTCGAGTTGACCTCCTTTGTGGTGTCTCTGAAGAAACAAAACTAGTTGCCCTTCCCACCACCTCCACTGATCAGAATATGTGTGTGTGTGTGTGTGCGCGTGAACCCCGGTGAAACAGACATCCTCAGCAGAGATAATGTTCTTAGAAAAGTGAGGATAGGAGAGCGCCTGTCAATACTGCCCCTTTTGGGGTTGTTTAGAGGGATGCCAAAAGAAAGTCGCTCGGTTCCCCTTATGAAGACAAATTGTCGAAGATTTCCTTGGCCGATGCTTATGGATCTTGGTAAGAACGTCTCAGTCCCTGAACGGCAGACATCAAATAAGTCAACAACACTCTACCTGGAACCTCAAAGTACCCTAAACATGGACAGCCTCCCAAAATGTGAGGCGGTATTTTAGGGTAGTTTGAGGGTCCTAGCCTTCCATCAGCTTCGTGGACATACCACTAAAACAATCCAGTACATGACGAAGAAATGCGAGAATTGGGATCCTTCCTTACTTGTAATACCCAGAGGGTCCTTAGGCACCAAGAGACAGCTACAAAGCGTAATTTCATCTCTCCCTTTCATAGGCAACAGGGGGTCCGTTCTGCGATCTTCGGTAGCTGGTTGATCTATCCGGACCATCGATGGCCACCTCGTGAGATGCGGCCTCCAAGACCTTCGCCACCTTGGCATGGCGCTGACTGCCAGAGCCTCCAGGCTCCAGCGCTGGCGCCAGCGCCGCCTCACGGAGGCACTCTCAGCGGCCGTTTTAGGCGTGCCAGTTCAAGCATGCTGACCCATGTGAAATACAGTCCCAGTAAAAGGTGCCCTCCCTCTACCCCGCCCCCCCACCAAAAGAGAACAAGGAGGAAACATGCGGCCCATGATTGCCCTTGCCACCCTATGGCATTTGAGCAAACATGTTGGCCCCGCTCGTGTGATTCCGACCCTGCGAGCGTGAACTGATGAGCTTGAAATTGGAAATCATATCAATTTCTGCTTGGGTCAGTGTTACGGGATCTTCCGCTGTGTTCCCAGTTGTTCAGTGGCACCCTTCTACTATGGACAAAAAAAACTACTTCGCACCTGTTGGTATATGCGCCCCTCCTGTATTCATAGGGTTTCATCCAACCTGTGCCATTTTGTTCCATCAGTAGCCGTGCTTGTCGCGTGGCTAAGGACCAACCATAGCAAGCACTCGCCTTCGTGCCGTTCGCGTTGAGGACAATGCATCTGTGCCTTTGGCACAAGGCATTCAAGGCCAACCTCAACAAATAAACAAACTAACAAACTAACAAACAAGCAAACACGCAAAAACACGCAAACACAAACAGGGGTCAGGACTCCCGCAAGGTGTTTGGCAAGAATGCTGACTGGGATGAATCGACCTCGGAGTGATCCAGATTCCCTCAAAATGGAGGCCCCCTATTTATCAGCCCGGGTTCATGAATCCTTTGGTTCCCCTGAATCTTTGCAACATATTGCCCCATGTGCAGTGCACCTGGCAGTCGAAGCGCAGAGATCACATAGCGGGTAGCGTGTCCCAGGTACTGTTCAAAAGTACCTCCCTACCAGGTACTTTGACCGCCCACAATTGCTTTGCCACGGACGATCTGTTTGCAGCAACAACAGGTCGCAAACTCGGACACGCACCCCCTTTTGCCATAGCCTAACCATCCTTTTCCACAAATGGCCCTTAATTCAGAGACTTTGCGGAAATCCCACCCTCTTGCTTTGGATGGTTTCAAAGGTCAGGGGGGTTCCGATTTGCCCTCCATAACCCAGCGAGCCCAAAATAGTCTAAATATCGAGCAAGCACTTGCATGGAAAAAACACTGCCTCCCATGGCGTCCCACCCTCCTATAGCCAGCTGATTCTCCGTTCCGATGCTTCCCGGGCCGCCGGCTCTTGCTTGCCCACCACCACAGGCTGCGACAGGACCAGCACCAGCCTGGCGTCCGAGATCGAAATCCCTCAACCTGATGGATTCAAGATGAAAACATCCCAAAGGCTTCTTGGACCCAGCGCACACTGAAACTTTGTGAGCCTCGACTCCCTTTCCCAATTACAAGCCTCCTCGCGTGCCCCAGCAAAGGCTTCTCTGCTCTTTTGCCGCCCGGGCGTTTTCCTTGTTCATATCTTCTGCACGCAATCCAGTTGGAGCATTTGCCATCCAAAAAGGGTCACTCGGCAGCCCCGGGTGCGAGAAGTGAGATCTCTCCCTGCACTCGGCGGGGCTGGGTGCACCGCTTCCACATAGACGCACTTACAAGTCCCCAGAAGTCACCACTCGGGAGTGACATAAACTGCTGCATTCAGCAGCACGACTTTACCGTGACATGACCATGCCCGCAAAAATATACTGGGTGTGCCCGACAGCGATCCTTTTACAGGCAAAGGGATCTACATCTACATTGAGTTGGTAGCATCAGACGCTATCAGCATATATCTCAATCACACAATCCGAGGTGGTCACACCTGGCAAAAAATCAAGCCCTGGGTGAAACAGCGTGGGAGAAAGCAATGTCCGACTTACACATCTTGAGCATGGGAAACACAACGAGATAGAACAAGTGGCAAAAACAGTGTATATCCCCGCAACACAACAGGCTTCTACCAGGCCTCCGGCCCCAGGCAGCTACGCTTCACGTCGGCCTCTGAAAGGTTGCGGCGGTCGACTTCCGACCCTAGGCTCTGCCGGAAAACCAGGAAGTTGCCTCTTCTGTCCATCTGTTGGTAGGACCAACTCAGTACACACAGTCCCCAGTCACTGATCCTACTCAGTGGTGTGAGCTTCTGGGCTGCAACTCCCAGCATGCCCTCGTGACCTGCAGCCTCGAGTTTTGCGAAGGCGAAGAACACCTCAGGCAAGTCCAGCCGGGCACCTGCTGGCTTCCACTCAGCTACTTCATTCACCACTTTGGCTGCCACAGCTTCAAAGAAGGCGGCATCATAGTAGTTGCTCAGCGCCAACCCCAAGCAAGAATTAGCAAGTTCTTGCGGCTTGGCTGCAGCCAGCACTTCACCTGCTTGGGCCACCACCACAGGAAGAACCTTCCGCAAATCCTGCATCATGGCAGAATGGCTGGGAACTACCGACAGCTGGCCAGTTGCCCATATGAGGTTGGACACCTCTTGGGCCTTCATGTGTGCAACTACTTCTGGGATCCTGCCTGCCAACACTGGCAGCAGGCCCATCATTGCTTCGGCATCACCGCGGGTTCTTGCGAGCTTAGTGATTGCCCAAATAATGTTGGACACCTCTTGGGCCTTCATCTCGGAGACTACAGCTGGAACCCTGCTTGCCAACGCAGGCAGCATGTTCAACAAAGCTTCAGAATTAGCGTTGGTTGTGGCCAGCTTTGCAACTGCCCACATAACGTTTGAAACTTCCTGGGCCTTCATCTCCGCCACCACAGCTGGAACCCTTCTTGCCAGTGCCGGCAGCACGGTCAACAAAGCTTGACAATCGGAATCGGATGTGACCAGCTTCACCACCGCCCAAATCGAATTGGCAACTCCTTGGGCATTCATGTCGCTGGCAGTCGTGTTGGCAGCGCTTAACAAAGGTGCCCACAACATTGCAAGCTGTGTGGATGCACGGCCCTGAAGCCTGGCCGTTGCCCATAGCGTATTTGCCACCGATCTTGCTAGTCCAGCTGGCTTCTCCAACAACGAGCGAGTCAGCCTGACAAACATCAAAAATGATGGCATGGTAGTTGTCTCAGCGTTGATGCTGTGCTGAAGTTGCGCAAGTCGGCACCAGGCTGCAGAAATCGAAATCAGGTTCAACTCTGGATTGTCATGCTCTGACTGCATGATGTCCAAAATTTCGGAAGGTGAGACAGCGTTCTTGGCACGACTCGTAACTACTTGTGGAGCTGTGTAGCTGCTGTCTCCTTCTGTTCTCCGCAGCCGGGGGCGAGGGCTCACTTGGCGTCTCTCGCGCACCCTTCGTGCAGTTCGCCCCAAAAGCCGCCCCTTCGGATCAGAATCTGTCGGACCTGCTGTGAAGGACCACTGGCAAACAGCACTGAACCGCAAGGCCAGTAGCAGTAGCCAGGATCGACGCCCAGCCATGGCAGAAATGCCCAAGTTAAAACAAAGTGGCCCATATCATGCGACTTTTTGATTATCAGCCTATGTACGTCTGGTCTCAGTGATTCAATCCTTATTATAAATCACAGAGCATGATTTGAAGAATTGAACCAGTGGATGAAGTCACGCCATGCCACAAGCCTTGGACTTTGCACCCAAAGCGCTGCGTTGGCTTCTTCACACAAACACTCACAGAGCATACCCCATGTTCAGCCAAAAAGGAATGTCTCCCATATAAGCAGATCAGTGCCGGCGTTGGCCCTGGAGGCAGTCATGAGAACTGGGTAGGCAACGAAATGACGTGCGTTGTTTACGCTGGCGCTTCTTTGGAGTATCATGTTGCGACAACTGCCTGCAAATGAACTTGAATGCTGGGAAAAGTTGTCCTTCTTCCCACCTTGCACCAACGTGGGCATGCAGCAATTGCTAAAGTGGAATCGACTGGCTGAATTTAAACCTGCAAGTGGTCCTGTGGATGCTTTTGTTTGGGCTGCAATCCTACCACAAGGCTACTTGGCCCTCTCGGTTTGTCTGCCCAAATTGTGACAAGATTGGCTGCTCACAACATAACAAAGTAATTGGGAGTTTGAACACGATAAGACAAGCTCAGGGGGTCTCCTTGCTCAAAAGCCCAGTTGGCTATGGGAAAAACAGAGCACCCTGGTTGTGGCGGTTGATTCAAAAGGAAATTCTGAACATTGTTTACACATTCAAAGTTGAGTTTAAATACCACTGGGCATTGAATGGATACAGCCGATGGCAATTAGGACACGGGCTAAGCAGTGGTCTCTTTGCTATAGCAAGCAACCGTTTGCAACGGCTCAACAAAAGAACCAAAGCCCCAAACAATGCTAGCGGCTGTTGAGGTCTCAAAAAATCACAGCTGCTCGTGCACAGCAATGCGGCGAGGAGAGCGCTTAAAGGATCTCGTGCTTCACATCGCAAAACATAGGGGCACACCATGGGTTACTAAAACCAGGTTCAGAAGAACGCGCGTGCAAACATCTGCGAGCTACGCTCGTCAACTCGCTTGAAATTCGGGTCAGCCTGTGCATGTGTGTATCCGGCAAGCTGCACCCCGATTTTCGGCCAAGGAGCAAGTACATCTTAGCGGGTGCGCCAGCTTTTCGATTGCTCTCCTGCTTCGGAACCTTCAGGAGATGTACCACATCCTTGGGGCACAAACATTGCTGTGCCTTCTGCTCTCCGTCAACCCCCCCCCCCCTGTTCTGGCCGGCTGATTTGAAATCTCTGGGGAATTCGCGGCGGTCATTCTGTCAGACTCTTGATGCTTTGGCAGGACGCGACATTCCGCGCAATGATACGGTGCAATCGGCCCATTTTCTGATTTTCTGCTCGGATTCAACCTAATTGTGGTTGATTTCCTTGCAGTACTGTACCCGGTACTCCATATTTGCTGCCTACAAATTGATGCGAAATGAAATGATTGATCATCTACAGCATGATTGGCTTGCTCGCAATACTATATCTGATATCTGCGAATGTGAGCTCTGCTACCCAGGAGAAAGGGACATCCCCATTGTCATGGGGCCATATCCCGTTAGCGTTGTTCGGCCACCTCCCCAAACCGCTGCCTGGCTGCCTCCCCCACCTCTGGCCCCACACCCCAACAAAAACAACCAACAAACAAACAAACCAACAGTAAACAAAAACAATAACAATGAAACCCGCGAATTTGAAAAACAAACGACGAGTTGAAAGAAAGGAATCGAGGGAAGGGAAGAAAGCTAAGAAGGAAGAAAGAAAGACATGTCCGCGGCAGTCCCGGCACATTTCACCGTCTTTCCATCTTCCCGACTGGGGCCCACACCTCCCAAAGAATCAGACCAAGCCTGGGGCCGGGATGTGAGCTGCGAGAAGTCAAGAGATGCTGGATTGGGGGTTCTCAACCTTAGGCACCTGTTCTGGTTGTGTTCCCTTTCCAACCCCAAAACGCGCATGCCCAACTCCGGAAAAAAGATATTGACCACCTGGAGCCTCGACTCACTCCTCAAAATGGGGAGCTGTGTTCCTCGCTTCATGTCAGGATTCCTCTGGCTTGGACAACCGTCAACCCTAAACTTTGATGAAGGGGACCATGAATGATTGTTGACTGGAAATGGGACTGCCCTCTCAAAGAACACTCAGAATCGGCGAGCGTGTTTCCCCCGTGGTGGGATCGTTATGATTGGCCCAAATATGCTCTAAGTATTGCAAGTTAAGCAGCCATACTCAACCGCACAACCATGGTAAATCACGTCATATTAGCGGGGTTCCATGTTCGCTTACGAACTTGATGTGGGGGATTTGCACCAACCTCGCAAACGTCTTGGGACATACTGTAGATGGACGAAATCCTGCACCACCTAAGACACCCTGGAATGATGACCCCCGTACATACCAGCAGACAATGGTGTCCCATGGTTTCGAAGTGGTGCAGGATTTCGTCCAGCCACAGTATTTGTTGGGCGCGAGTTGGGCAATATGGCAGGGGCATCAACCACATAACCCCTTAGCCTCCTGAGGTTGACCCCACGCTTTCGCGCTTCTTCTCGGCACGCGACGGTGTCTTGCCCTGGAAGACCAGGCCCTTCTCGGTGAGAAGGAGGTCATAGCGACCCCTGGCTTTGAGTTTAGGGAGGCGTGGTGAACTAATCAACCGACCGACCTAGCCGTCCCCATTCTCTCGTGATCCGGAGATTTGGAGTTTCCAATAGAATGGGTGAAGAGAATGGGGGATCAACCCGAGAGCTTCCACTTACAACCGGTATCTAGGTATGTGTGTCAGGTGTCCCTTGCAAAAAGACAATGCCGCTAGATACATCCAGGGTCACTACTTTTGAAAGGGTTCTGAAAACCTTCCTGGGGGTGCGCAGGCTCGAACTTCCCCCAAAAGCAAACATTCGCCTTGCGTGCTAACACATGATGTTTTTCATCCAAAATCAGCGCGGTGCGTAGCTGTCACCATTATATATATATATATATACGTATATATATATATATATATGTATTCTTTCCAGGGATCCCTCTCAGCAAATTGCAAGTACCCTTTGAGGGCGGTTCTTTGGGGGTTGAGAGGGGTCAAAGTAACTCCTCATAAGGTACTCGGGTTCCATGTGAATTTTGCAGAGTAACTCCCCCGGATACGTTAGCAGCATAACGCGGCCTGGGCATCGACACAGAGATGGAAGGGAGCTTCACAAGCACCTCAACGGGCAAGGCGGAACAACATAGGGGGACCTTGCGTGGCTTGTTTGTGTTGATTGTGCGGTGTGTTTGTTTGTGTGCTGTGTTGTTTGAGTTTGGTGTTGCATCTTTGCTACTTCTTTGCTACGTTGTCCAATGTCCTGATGGCGTATTATTTGTCTTGTGCGCTTATGTGCTTGCATGTTGTCCTTGTTTGTTTTTGGTCGGTTCCATGTTGTTTTCTGAAAACAAAAACATCCTACGTATGTGTGTAGGATTCTATGTATGTATACATGCCGGCACGCATGTGTGGATGCATGACTGAATAGATGTTTGCATGCACACACACGAGCATGTCACACCTGCACGAGAAAGGCAGCCAACGGCAGAACTCCACTGGACACCACGCAGGGACGTCCAACATTAACCCCGCAGGACGCATGCTTTGAGAAAACGCAACCACTTCCACATGCAGGTGCAGCTTGCTACGTGCAAGTGAGGCAACATGAACACACCTGAACATACAACGATACATTTTGACCACATACGCGCACATGGGCCCAAGCAAACCAAATAGACATGAGAAAGCATGAAAACACAAAGCCATACTCAAGATTGAAACATGCGCCATGCTTCGCACGGATACCTTATGAACACATAGGTTAAAACACGAACTCATGGCGGTTGTCTGAGATTCCTTGTTCCCGAAACGCCATCTTCGCACAAAAAAACGATTTATCGCAGAGCTTTTGCAGGGTTATTTTCACAGCATTATTCACAAAAGTCGTACGCAAAGTGCACATCCACAGCCGCAGCTCGAGAGTCGCAACTTTGCAGTTCCGGAGAGGTACCTGAAGTAAACTTGCCCAACCGCAGCTCCAAAACCGTGCCGCAGCACAGGATGGGACCCATTGGCCACCCATGTCCGGAAACTGGCGGGGAGGCCCATCGCCAAACGTTACCAAACATCCGCTGGAGAAGTTGACCTTAACTGGGCCCGGAAAGCTTCAAAGCTCAAGCAAGTTCTCCCTGCTGGGGGCTGTCTTTGCAGCGACAGCACTTGCTTGCGGCAATCCTCAGGGCTTTCCTCCAACCAACTTTAGTCTGTGTGCATTCTGTGCGCACTGCCGGCAAATACGGCAGATGCACATCATGGTTCATCATTCCATCTTCCCTTACGCAAACCACCCATACAAATAGATTTTCCGGATATGTTTTAAGTAAACGTTCGCGACCTCCATCGCGAAGCTGTCGCGGAGGGCAACGTTAAAACAAAAAGATGGTCCGCTTCATACGTGAATTCAAGGACCTTGCAGACGACCTCACACATAGGATCACGTGTGAAGACAATAAATGCAAGCACGCAAGGATTCATGACCGCATGCTTCACATGCTTCCTGAATCTTCACTGTCCTGTCAAAGCAACAAAACCGCTCTGCTACGTCCAAAAGCGCCTCGTGCCCCGCCTCTGCCACAACTAAAGGAGCTTCTTTGGTCAACTCATTGACGCTCCCCTGGAGTAACCTCAGATCTGCCCAGCTGGGCGCAGTGTTTGACAGGCACCCTTGTGGCTTGTCGAAGGGAGAACGCTTGTTCACCATGGGAATGAACCCACTGGATGAACAAAAATGAGACAGCAAAAGCCCTCGTCAAGAGGGACACATGGACTGGCAATCTACAAAACTTCGACCTGGTCTTCCACTTTGTCTGTACAGTATCATAAATTATTGTCAGTAGTTGCCCTTTCCGGCCTGTTCAGAAAGGGCTCCACGATAATTACTTTATCACTTTGTGATAGTTCAGCTGGGGATTGGCAGTTTATTTTATTCTTACTTAGGCTACCTTGGGCTCTCGGGCTGAATCCGTGAATGCATGTTGTCCTCTGTTTCCCAAAGTCCCACGGCGGTCAACACATGTGCTGAAATCAGTTTGGAGGGCGCGCTTGCACTTGCTTGAAACTCGCTTCTGCAACATGCCCATGTTGCTTGTACTTTCATTTTCTGGCCCCTCCATCGCCAGAATTGACTTGCAATGCTGCTGGCTCTGGTTGTTTTGTTTTCTATGGCACCCTGCTCCGTGCTGGAGTTTGCTGAGTGCCTTGTACGACTGAATCTTGTGCCAAAGTTTGACCCTGCAAATCGCTTCAAACAAGCCTAGTGATACTACCCTTGCCTGAAACTACCCGTGCATGCTTCCTTGAGCCGTTCGAACAAGCAGAGGTGCAGCAACTGGCGTAGAAAGTTCAATACTTTAGGTTGTTCCGTTGCGCAGTCGAAGCGTTGAGCTTCAGAAGCTGGAACACCACATGACCGAAAGGTCGGACAAGCGGCAGGGCCGTAAGGGGCAAATATGAGGGGCAAACATGATGTAACTTGGTTTACGAACCCACCAGTGGGGTTTGGCCAAAACGTCTTCACCACATGATTTCTTTGACTGCTGGTGGAACATGTCATAACTTCTGCAAATTTAGCTTTTCCTCACTGCGGCATGAACCATATTTCTTCCATTTCCGGTGCAACCAACCCGAGAGCAGACTGGTGCCGCAGGCTAAGCCAACACACAATAGTCCACTTTCTAAAGTCCAAGCCAGCCGAACCCCTACTTTAAACCAGACAGCAACCGAAGAGGCCCCAAACCTGCCGCGGGCAACCCCTTCTGCCAGACCAAAAACCAATGCATGGCTTAAGCGGAACAAGCAGCGCCTTGCTAACAGGCGCAATACTTGCACAGCCCGCCACCCGGTCACAATGCTCCACAACTGGCTTTGTGGCATTTAATTAGAGAGTCTTGTGGGACACAGTTTGCTCCATATGCTCATCTCAGTCATCTTTTATGGCACTCCAAAAGCAGCCTCCGCATTGTGCTCTACTTCGTCGCTGTTAGACGCCCTCCAAAACTGCTCCATTTGCAGCGCAGGTGCTTTAGCGCAGCAGTTGGGCCAAGCTGCTCCTGCTACGCTAGACGTGCCCTCCGTTCCCTCTGTCCGTTCCGCATAGCTGCGTCAAGGCAGGAGGTTCAGTTGTGACGGGCTAACATGCAAGGAAGTGCAGCAAACGACAGCTCCACATCTTCGACAAGGTACTACACAACTTCTGACCAGGGTGGGTCCCGGTCCACCTTTTTGTTGGGACCAAAATGGTCGCCCGGTTGGGGTGTAAAACATTGTTTGAAGGTCTTCAGACATTTGCTGGGTGAGCAAATATGGTGTTTCACTAGCCCTGTGTCGAACCTCATTGACAGTTGTCTATACAGCACGACCCTGCTTACCAGACTCCCAGTAGCACCACAAAGAGACAACAGGGCATGGGGGGTACTTGAGTAAAAGACAACCTCCCAACAAAAAGGACAAGCCTTCATAGTGGTTGGGTCCTTCACCAGCCCTGCCAACTTCGCAGCATCTTGCGCGGCCACAGCAGCGTCCATCGGCCCCGTAAGAAAGCTCTGGTTCAAAGCCCAACACAAACCCAAGGAAAGCTACCCTTTGTTTTTTTGGGCAGCATGATCCCCATTTTGCCTCATCTCATGCTGCTGTTGGGTTTCAGAACCCTTTTGGTATCTGCGTGGCGCGGCTGAGTGGCTTGCTGTTTGTGTGTCTCTGTCGCCCGCACTGTCTTTTGGCTCTCTTTCTTCGGTACAGCACGCGGATGCGAAGCCGGAGTCCTCTGCAGAACAGAAAATCAAACCGCTGCGGGAACTGTCTTCGCTTCTCGTGGTCCGATGCTTGATGTCCCGTGTTGAGCAGCTAGTCTGGCGAAAGGAAGTTCAGCGAGAGTCAACAAGCCTTGTCTCTGGCCCTGCCATTCCGTGGGCGCCACTAGCAGTGCAATCCAAGCCCTCAGTGTTACAACTTCACCAACCACAAACAATGGCAGATGCGTTCTACAACAACTGTTCAGTGTGCTTTTGGTTGCCCTTGAAGCACGACAGCTGCAAAGCAGTTCAAATTCTCAAGCCTCCTTTTCTCTCCGAGAATCCGAGCACATGCATCCATTGCTTTCAGACACACAATGCCCACATTAACTCTCCGCACCTCGGGTGCGATAATTCCTCGGCACCTTAGGTGCGCCACTGCTTCTGAGAGCATTCTCCGGGACCTTCCGTTGAGCCTTGAGCTGTTCTTTGTGAAGGTCGCTTGAAGTGCAGACCAAGGTCACCTTGCTCACCTTGATTCAAGCCTCTTTGTCCTCAACGGAATGTCAAGTTCTAAGACCCGCCTTTCGCCGGCTCCCAGCATAGGCAGGCTATTAAAAAGAGCCACGAGTACTCGCATTTGCAAAAGCGCTTCGCTTGCAACAGGCACTTGGTATTTGACTTCCTGCTCGGCTCTTTGGAGCTTTTCCCAAATCAATTCCGAGGCGTGAGGAGCTTCACTGGCGGTAACCAGGGCGAGCCTGGCGACAAAAAGCCATCGACAAGTCCCGATACATGTCACCAACTGGGCCTCTTGGCGTAAGAACAACTTGGGCGAGGCACGTCTCGACTTCGGGGCCCAACCTACCACGCGCTGCACGTGCAACCCGGGCCTTTGAGGGTCGCCTTGCGCTCCCGATCCTGACAGGTCCCCTTGACGCGGGACGGATTCAAACGAGGGCTATACTAATCAAAGAAATCCTCCCGTATGAAAAACAAGCCCCCACTCAAAGGGAACCACCCCTGTATGGTCTGGATCAATCCGAAGTAGATCTTACCATTGATCATGCTGAAATACCAACTTGCTCTACAGCTTGGGATGACGTGGGAGCCTGAGTTGGACTAAAGACAGCCGAGTGTTGACCAATTCTTCCAACACCCTGTACTCACATCATCTCACATTTGTTTGTACCTTCTGTGCCTTCAAATATGTCTTGCAACGCAAGCGTGATGCTTGAACTGGTCAGAAATGTCTCCTTCAAGGAACCATCGGCAAGTTCCAGATCCACGACCAACCCATTTCCACCGCTTTCCTTCAGCGGGGGCCCCAGCGGTCTGACCTGAGCAAGTCTGGACAGTCTCATCCGGCAAGTCCTAGAAACATCACCCCCACAATGAAACTCCTTGATCAAAATCAACCTAGTACAATGTGTATTATATATATACATATATATATATATATATGTATTATACATATATTATGTATAATGGAAACCCGTATGCATCCGAGCCCTGATACGGCATGACAAGAAAGTCAAGAACAGTCCTTGAGATCAGGGAACTGAATGCTCCCTACCTGGAGTAATGTTGACCCATAAGCGATGCAAACGACCTTGGCCCAAATACGCTAGCAAGTAGCACTCAAGCTGGCCGAAAACGCCGGTGGCTTCCACACGAAGCGGAGCGCGCCTTTCTTCCCTCGCGTCCCCGTCGACTCAGCGTGCCGCATTGGTCTTGCTCAGTAGCTCGGAGCGGGCACACACCCCCGGGTGCCATGGAGAAGAGACTTTTTCATCCCATGCACTCTGCAGGGGTTGCTCCGCTGCCAAGCTCCTGGTGACAAAGTCCAAAGATGTCAGATTTGACACTGCGGCAGGTTTGAGTTGCCAAGAGGTAAGCCAAAACATCGCAAATGAGCGTATGCTCATGCAGTCACTTGATATTGCTTGCCCCCCGGATCATTGAAGCAGGTGGCGGATAGCATTGCATGATATTGCGGCGAATCCATGGCACAATCAAAGGCGATGTCGGCCGATAAATAGCCTTTAGCTGCATGCTCGCACGATAGCTTTTGGATTTCGGATAGATCATTGAATGCATGAAGGCAGAAGTAGCAAAGCAGCAGGCGCTAAGTGCTCTGCGAGATGATTTGCCGTCTGACCGGTCTGCTCTCAAGATCGGTCCGTGCGTGGATCTCGACTGGGATTGCTTGCCAGCTGGGCAGGCTCCATGATGGCCGGTAAGCTCCTCCAAGGGAGGGATGGCCGCGATGACTTCTGATGCTGACAGCCAGGAAGAGTAGCTGCTCCATCAAGGGAGCGGAACGCCCGTAGCGCGCAAACTGCTTGGCAAGCCCCAACAAGGCTGAGTTGTAGTGATGGACAACACAAGCTGATGCGACAAAGCGCGAGCAGGCGCCTTCCTTCTTTGCTTGCACACAGAAATCCACATCCTCGAAAGCCGCCTCTGGAAAGACAGCCTTGAAATTGAGAGAGCCCGTCTGCAGCCGAAGTGCCATGTTGCATGAAGGGGTGTACAAGAGTGTGCCGTCAGGCAACGCTCGGCCGTTGAGAGTGCCAAAGATGTCGTGGAATTGATCCACATAGCTGCGGCGCAAAGAACAAGTAGTGCCTCCCAAGAGGTCAGCTTGAGGATGCTGCTTGAAGTGCATCAACATCGTCCCCAACCGGTTTCTGGCAGGCAATCCGAGTCAGTGAACAAGACGTATTCCATCTCCCTTGCCCTCGCCTCTTGCAGTCCCAGGTTCCTCGCAGCAGCAGGTCCACGATTCACATCTGAACGCAGAACGGTGACACCATCTTGCTCCTGCACAGAGAGCAGGCTCCGACACTGGTGTCTGCGAGCCATCATCAACAAGAAAAATCGTGGGGGAGTGGGTCTGCAGTCGCACACTGCGCAGACAGGGTCCTGTCCAGTGCGCTTGCGTCCTTCAATACTCTGGTGACGTTCTTGCACAGGCCCTCGACGACCGCAAGGTTGAGGTGAGCTCATTTTCTGCTTGCCTTGCCATGCTCCATACTTGTAGCTGAGAGTAGCCACAGCCTTGGCCACTCCGATCTTGGCGGCAGAAAGCCTAGAAAGTCTCTTCACCTCGGAGCTCGGCCAGATCTGAGCCCACAGCTGGCACAGCCAGCGCAAGAGTGAAACATCACTCAACACTTGCGAGGCTGTCATCTTCTCTACTGAGCTAAACACAACTAAGGCTCTTGAAGCTGAGGCAGAGAGAGGCACTGCGTCTCCGACCCGTGCCACGCCATGCCAACTGCTTGGCGCCCCTCACTGACACCTGACGCGAGTTGGCACGGAAAAGGTTCTTGCTATACTGGGAGGCCTCAGGAAGTTCGGGCCCTTGGCAACAGGAATTCCAAACCAATACTAAACCAATCATTAGCAGTGCTGGGCCAGCTCATAGGAATGCCAATGCTAAACCAATACTACATCATTTCGGCCAGCTCAGGGGAATACTAAACCAATTCTAAACCGATACTTTGCGGTGTTTACTGGGAGACTACTCGAGCAGGCCCAACTGTGATCCCCAGTTTGTGTTTAGGTTTGCCTCTATCGCTCCTTTTGGGGGCAGGGGGGGGGGCCTTGGGGCCCTCTGATCACCACATTACTCTCGTAACAGTTTTCTGGTCTGGTGCAAAAGGTGCCTTACATGGCCTAGCCCCGAGGTCAGATTTCTGAGGGCCCTGCGCCCGTCTGCCGGGGAGAATGCTTGGCCAAAGAAGCGCACCTCGGATACGGGCACTTGGACTCAAAGAACACCTGGACCCTCACACTACCCAGGCGATTGCGCGGTTGTTTTTTGTTTTTTTGTTTTTCCGTTGTCTTGAAGGTCTGAGGCTGAGGGTCCAGGAAACCCCATATGTTTAGGCACGCCACATGGCACAATGGTCCCCTTAAAGCGGGCGGTTCACCTTTTGGCTTGCGTTAACCACCAAACCAGGGATGAGACGCTCCCCATATCACAAAGTGCGCTTCTCGAGCCAAGGAGCAAAGCTTCTCGAGCAGTCATCCATGGCCTGCCCGGCGGGTGTCGCCTCTGTCTGATTCCACGCCTTTACCGGTACTGTCATGTTTTGCATCGTAGGTGAAAGCGCCTAGTGCGAGTGTGCGAGTGTGCGGCCACCTTTGAGCTGCATCTTTCCTCCCGGCCCTCAGATTCTGGCAATGCATAGTACGTGCATGTGTACGTAACTTGTTCTATACATGTAAATGATATAGTCAACAATCGTATCATGTGTGGCATATTCAGAGAGCCTACGAGAGAGGCAGAAGCGACACAATGTTTGCCTCCTCGTTCAGGGCGCCCCAAAGGGTCGGAAGCTCTCCCCATACTCCCATCCACTGTGGAACCCTCCCATCCACCTTGGAACTTGACTAGGGGGGCGGCCGGAAGACGGTTTTTCTGTCAAGAAGACCTTTCTTCTCCAAAAGAACTATTCTCTTCTAAAGGATATTGTTTTCCGCTGAACAACACTAGTTTCCGCTAAAAGGGACGCTCTGCATCCCTCTGCTGGGTTCGATGGCAATGGGACACGGCTCCTCCCGCCTCGCTGAGGAAAGCGCTGGGATGGTCCCATGCAGCGGCGGTTGCAGCGTGGACGGCAAGCCTTGCCTTGCGCGACGAAGGATCTCGAGGTTCCTAAAGGTTGTGCCTTCTAGAACACCTTGCCTCGGTTGACCCACGGAAAGTGTTGCACCCACCAAAAGAAGGGGAAACGGTTAGAATCCACTGAACTTGGCCAAAAACGATGCTTGAAGTTTTCACAGCACTCCATTTGGGCCTAGAACTTCTTCCGACGATACCCACGTTCGCATGACTCTCTTGTGGCCTGGAAGTTGGGGTGCACAAGACTTCTTGTAGGCTTGTTTTAGCCCAAAACTGGGGTACACCAACACAAACTCAAAAAATATAGGTTCAGATTCTGAATCAGCCTCAAACATCAAAAAAAGCTTTGTGATTGTGCGCCAGGTATGCACATAGCCCACATGTTCAAAGCAAGTCCGAATAGTCACTCATGATCAGTCAATGGGGGAAAGGAAACCTTTGGGGGCCCCTATTTAACACACACACACACACCATGAAAGGGTATTTGGCCGGCGGGGTGGTGCGGCCGCTCATCTCGCCAATTGACGCCATCAACCCAAAGGTTCGAGCTGAGCCAGAAAGAGAGAGAGGGAGAGAGGGAGAGAGAGCAAGAGAGTGTGTGTGTGTGGTATAGCAAATGATAACACCAGAGACATCATGCGACATGGCTATCACCTGCGCCATAACCATGGATTGCCTGCACTGAAAGTATTGTTTGTTTGGCGTTTGATGCAGGAACCTCTTAGGATATTGGCTGTCTTCGAGCTTGGTGCCAGACCTCAGGAGATTCTTGGAGAGTTTGGTGAAACCATCTCCCTTCAGATGACATATCTACCTGCTGTGCAGAACTTCTTTAGAGGTCGATACATTTTCTCATGGCATGTCTGATGCGTGCGACATGCCTCCATCAGCAAGCAAGGGAACCTGCCAGTCGCCGCTGTTGTTCCACGTAGTTCTGACACTCAGCAAGCGGTCAATGCCGCTGTACAAACCCAGGATAAAAGAGAACCAAATGTCAGCTAATTGGGGGGGGCTGTCTTACTGTCTCGCCTACCTTGTACAAGCAGCAAAGGGCCTGTGAATCATCTAAAGCTCGCGGCCCTGCGTTGCCTTCGACACAATCACATCGAACATGCCGGAGGATCATAAGCAAGAGTCTAAGAAGGGGGGCCTGAGAAACCGAAGGGATCAATGTCTCGCGTCGAGCCAAACAAAATCCCTCGGCCGAGGCAATCAAATGCCTCGCCGTTTCGCCCAGAAGAGTATGAAGGGTCGCTCCTGCGGGGCTTGTGAAGCCGCGCGGCCCTGATCGGACGCCCCCAGATTCTGGTACGTTCAAATCCATAGCCGGAGTTGACCAAACCCTCGTGTTGGATCTGGCACTCTGTGTGCGAGCCCAGATCTGAATGGCTGGTCAATCCAAGAGGCTCCAAGGGAAACTGCTCAACAGAAATCAAAGAGAGTCCAAGGATTGAGCAAAAAAGAAAGAAGTGCAAAACCCAACCACTCGCCTTAAAAATCTCACATGGTTGCAAGGCAGCTGGAGCTGAAAAAGCACACCAAGGCTAGACATCTAGAGCAACATCCCTGGAATGCCAGCTCGGACTTGCTGCTTGGCTCTATGAATTCGTTAGTCCGGTAGAGTCAACGCTTGAGTCACGACAAGCCGCGCGCGGTTTCCGCGTGCGCAGTTGTCAAAAGATTCGTGTGTTTGGGAACTGAAATTTAGTAGCCCTCTGTGTGCAATTCGAAGCACGTCAAGATCAAGACAGGCTGAAGATCCGTTCACAAGTGACAGCTCACAAAGTCGACCACTATTCTTGGTTTCCCCCTCCAAGAGATCCTGATCCCCTCTTCAGAGGGAGGCACCCGCGCAAATCAACTGGATGTGCCAAGAATAATAGGTAGGATAATAACACTTCACTCAGAAATCAAAAGAGGATCCACTGTTCAAAGCCTTTCAAAAACACCCAAGCTTCCCCTCGAAAACATCGAGCCCGCTGGACATAGGCCCCATGCCCAGGCCAAGGCCTGGAGCAAATACGCATTGGATCAAGACGAACAAAGACGGCGTTACAACAAACAAAAACGAAATGAAACTTAGCCAGTCGATACAACACGCAGCAGCCAGAGGCCCCATGCGACAACTGATACTGTGCATGTCTATTCGCCCCAGAGTCCACATGTGTCTTATTCCAGTTGGGTGGGAGCCCTGTTTGCGCCAATTTGCTCGCCAATGCCCAGCAAAGAAAAGTCAAAGTCACTGGAGAAATGCTCAACCTACCCTTACAGCAGCGTAGCTGAATTTTGCTGGTGCTATCATGCAGCATACTCAACTAGTAGCATGAAGAAGGGCAAACACTTGAATCCGTGGACCCCTAAAACGGATGTTGTCCTGTTGGTGTCCCTTTGAACTAAAAATAGTACCCTGCAAAAAGACACACACACACACACACACACACACTCCCTTGTGTTGACTTAGCAAGGCAAAGCAGATTCAATGACCCATTTCTACCCTCTGCCCAGCCCGTCCATCTCGAGCCGGGTCCGGCTGCTTCCTGAGCGCGCTGCCATTTGGGTCAATTGTGACCTGGAATTAAAGGGGTCTACCCAAAACCAGGCAAAGAAGTAAGATCTAAAATGCTGGCAACACCTACGCATTGTTAGAATTGCCCATTACTACCCCTTTTCCATCAGGGTTTGATTGTGCTCAGTTAAATTCAAAAATTCCAGCACGCATGCTGCAATGGATGTTGAAACAAGCGCAAAGTATTGGAGTGGCGAGTGGGCCCGAAGACTGGTTGTGATTGTCTTTGAGGCTGCTCCTGTTTAGGGTTTCAAAGGGAAACCAAAAGGGAAACCATCCATTTGGGGAAACTCCTGCATGTAGTCACAAACACACTTGAATCTATGTAATGTAAGCTTCGTTCCTTCCCCGGCTTGGGCCAAGCCCAACTCAGGCACTTCCACTCAAGGATCGGCCAAACAGCACCAAGACTCCCACTGCTCCGCGTTCAAAGAAGAAAACTTGCATCGTGCTTCTGCCACATGTACGGTCAACCACTGTTTGGGTTCTCATCTTTCAACACACTCCCGGCTGTTTCCGACTGAAGGCTCGGTTTTGCTTGAGCCAAGAGGCTCAAGGAGGCCTTGAAATGAGTTTCTTTCGAATGTTGCCCGTTACCAGCCCAAACATCGAAGCCCCCTGCTTCCGCCAGCAGTCAAATTGGTCATCTTCCTTAGAGGGGCGCTATAATATAGATCACAACGCTTGTGGCTTTGTCAATGCCAAGGTGGGGGATAGTCATGGTTCCGCAGCGAGAGATCGAAAAGTGTTTCAGATGGTGATTCCTCCAAACTCCAAATAGGCTGGGATTGATCAGGGGTGTCTGCCCCAAAATGAAAGATTGCCTCTAAATTAGCAATCAACCAGGGGCCATTCTTTCCGGGATCGAAATTGCGCCCACACCAGATCTTCGGACAGCCCGTCCAATTGAGCTGAGCCTCGCCAGTAGCGGGGACTTCAGTATCCCGGGGTAGCCAGTGGATTCCTTCGGAGAACGAACGGTGAGTTGCGACATTGCCGGAATCGCCGATACTCCCTGCAAACCTAAAAAAGTCCCTTCTTGAGACTCTCCTTTTGGGGAGCCCTTGTTGGATTCCACGCTGACTTGACAAGAACTCCGCGCCCGGAAATACATGTCGCTTGAAATGTGTCAAAGACTCTAACCCTGACATCGCAGGCACAGCTGTGGAAACTCGAAGAATTCCAGCTGGCAACTCGGTCAGTCTAGCGATGCTCAAAACATGCTACATGTGGTAGAGACCATCGCACCGCAAAGGCTATTTCAGCAGTCCTTGCACAGCAGGCAGTCATGACAAGGGAGGCCAACAGGGCTTGTTCGGTTTATTGCTCATTCCAAACAATAAGTCCACTCCAAACTCGGCATTGGCTTAGACCCCCTAGAAGTCACCGTTAGAGAAAACAAAGACAAGAATAATGCGCGATACCTTCCTGCTCTCTCCAGCTTGACAGGATCAATTCGCTTTGCCTGGTGCAGCACTGGATCACCGGTTTGTAATAGATTCAGGGCCGTCGCGTTGTATCGAGGTGCTTCGTGAGACAACCGCCAACTCCGGCCAGCCTTGGCCGCTCCCAGGAACGCCGCATTGCAAAGCCTGGCAACCTGCCAAGACCGATGCTTTCCGGGAGCAAATGTGTCCGGCCGTGTGGGCCTGCAACTCACAGATGCCTAAGGCGTGAATGCGAACCATGGTTGACAAACCTGTCCCTATCACTTGGCCGTTCTCAGGAGAGCTGTCCGGATCCCCCCTGAAAGAGGGGTGGGACGCCCTGTTGGCAACCAGCTTGGGGACGCCTCTCTCCGCCTCCTTCTCCCTTCAAATTGGTCGGGGGAACTGAAGGTGCCGCAGCACGGTGGTGGACTTAAAGCCACCTTCGTATGCGACAACCTCAGTATCTCGGTGCAACAAGCCTTAATCCCAAGCCAACCAAGCTGACCAGCGATTGTCTGTTGAGCCTTAGGCTGGGTTCCTTGGTTATCTTTACATGGAGGCACTGGGCAGGCTCCTCCTGACTCCTGTGCTGCCATCTGGAGGGGTGTACAATAGGAATCCGTTGCTGCCATTCAAGTACGATGGCATTAACCAGTTTCCTGTTCTTTCAGGTACAGCACAATTGCTCGGTATATCGAATGGATCGCATATCTCTCTGCAGCTGCAACTACGAGTTGTTCCGCACAGAACATTCTGTGCAAAAGAAAATCGGTGTGACTCAAATTGGGAAAGCTTTTCTAGCTTACCATCAAACTCCAATGCTTCACTTTTGTTGAGCGCACACAGGCTATCAGCCCTTCCTTTGCGACCATGTCTCGCTAGTTCCCAGGGAATCACTGTGAAGGCTTGGAATTGGCCCCAGGGATCCTAACGCACAGGATGATTCACTTTGGGGTCTGCCATTCCAACTAATCCCCTACCGAGCACCTGCAAGGAGTGTCGTTTTGCGGGCAAGCGTCCCCTTGGTTTTTCTTGCAACTTTGGTTCATTTCCCGTAACCGGGTTTCTCCAACAACCCTTTCAACGGGCATGAAGTTGGTCCCGGCCAAAAGATGCTAGTGGATTGCCATACCAATGTCCGACCTTCGCAGGTTGGTCGATGTACAGCCTAGTGGCAATTGCGCCAAAGGCCCGGAAAAGATGGCCAGTGCCGCTACCAAAAGGCTCTTCATCCCTTTGCCGGTTGGGAACGCAAACACATTTTGAGAACCCACCTACCTGAACCCTCCAGTGAAGGGTATCGAAAATTTTGGGGCAACAACCCTCTGTTCAGGAGAAGTCTGAGAACCCAGGTGCTTAGGTGTGTCTTTTTTGAGGCTTTGTTTTGCCCCAGTTTGAAGGAGAGACCTAAGCAAAAATCAAACTCTATGTTAAGGATTCCCTATTTGAAATCACAAGCCCGGCGAGTGAAGCGAGCCTCCGCCGGCGCCACAGCGAAGAGCAGAGAGCATCTGCCCATGGTCTCCCCGGTGGTGGGGTCGCAGGCTGTGACGATGTAAGAGCCTTACGAGGCGGGGGGACAGATTGGGGTGGTGTGGGGAGTGGATGGGGAGAGGGGTGGAGTGGAGTGGAGGGGTGGAGGGGGTGGGCGGTGTTTGGCAGGGAACAAGCCCGTTGCAGGCCAAGCTCGCAGAAAGCCTTGGTCTTTGAAATCGGTTGGGTGTTTCAAGCTTAGACCAAATACGTTGCATTTGCCATACTGAAATAATGACCAGTTGCATGAACCTTCCATCACCAGGCCTGGCACAAGACATCTGACATGTAGATGTAGATGCCTTCTCCCTGACAGTTGAACGCAGATGTCGCAACTCCCCCACTTTGGTTTCGTCATTCCCTTTAGGGGAGTTGTGCCCACTATGTTCACTTTCACCCTGTACATCTCCACGGTGCATTGGCCTCACTCCAGGCGAGGCACGGCCCGTCACATGCTCCATGAGAGGACAGCCTCTGATGATCCCGGTCGACTCATCCAGGGCGATCTGCGCCGGGAGTCCTGGTGACCCTGAAAGCCACTGGAGTGGAGGCGCCCGCCCGGTTCTCCGACCAACTTCCTAGCCTTGCAGAGATACCGGCGGAAGTTGGATAAACCGTTGGATTCCGGCGGTAAATCAACATCGAGCCCTGATTTACCTGTGGAATCTCCATTCCATTTCAACGAAAACCGGCTTAACCATCTGATAGCATATTCAATGCTCTACCGACCACAGCGGCACGCTTACTCAAATCTCAACTTGATGCAGCACAGAATCAAAACTCGACAAAGGACACCCTTCCCCGACTCCTGGAGAAATAGAGAAGCGCGGCTTCGGCAGGGAATCCCCTGAGAGCAAGGAAGCCGACACACGTCCCATGGTCAAGGCTCTTCCCCAAACTGGGTGCCCTCTACTATATGTCCCTTAAGACATCACCCCTACCAAAGGGAACTCTCCCAACGGAGGGCCCCAAACGGTGATGCTTAAAAGCACCAGGAAATATGTGGACCCCGGATGGATGCATCCCGAATTCACATGCTTCACAAGGGGATCGTACAAAGCAAGTACGTGATCCGTGGCCATTTGGCTATCCTTTAACCAACCCTGGAGTCATGGCTGCCTTGGACATCCCAAAGGGATACAATACGGGTGCCTGCCGCATGGCTGACGTCCCACGGGATCATCAGGAAAGACACGCTTCTGTCAAACCTTCTGCGCCAGCTTCTAAGATGAAAAGCTATTGCGCTGAACAGAGGGTCTAAGAAACCAACTACAGGAAGTTCTGCAGGAAACCCCTGATTTTGGTGGGAACTTGGCTAGTTTCCTGTAGAACTTCCTGTAGCTGGTTTCTATGAGAAGCAACTGCCACCCTCGTTCCGGTGTCACAGTGGCACCCGTCCCAGTGCCGGGTGAAATTCAGGCCATGAAGGCTATCCCGAAAACATGGTTGCCAAGCTCCATGCACTTGCTCCTTGGTTCAGTTGAGAAGTCACTCTTCATATTTGTTGACTGTACTTGAGTTGCTTTCATCAACTTGCACTCCTTGCCCTTCCCATGTCGCTCTGACTTACAATCAGCTATCCGCTCCCTGCTTGCCGCCGAAAGACGCCGGGCCGGCTCCTCGCACATGGAGCCTCAGACAAGATGCACTGGAAGCAAGCCTCTCGCGACATCAACAAGCCGCTGGCGGATCAACGAGCTTACTGGATGTAAATCGAGCTCACCCAGCTTGAACGGCCGCTTGCTATTCTGATTGGTGTTTTGGCAGATTCATGGCTCAGTGATGACATAAAGCGGACAACAGCGCCAGCGACGGAACTGGACACTGTGAGTATACATTAAAATAATATCAGTTTGCCCATTGATATCCCAAGAAGGACCCATGCAAAAGGATGCCTCAAAAACGATCCCTAGGCGTCCTTTTGGATGAACAAAAGGACTCCACAGATGTATGAGGCACATCATGAGCCCGTTAAGCTTGCAGCCTGTGTGGGTCACTGAGTGGAAGATAGACCGCCGCCGCGCTTTCCTCAGAGGCTCACGAGGCGCCGGGCACGGTGATGCATAGCCAAAGTCGTGCTGGGCTTCACTAAAAAGGGTGTTCCTTGCATGTTACTGAGATCGTTCGCCCCTACTGCATGCAAATGGAAAACGAGAGCAGATGCACCAACATCAGATGCATACTTGTTTAACAAGAACATCAAGAAAAAACCAACACTTGGCCAGGACTTGAGTGTCCCTTAGACGGTATGAAACAACCCCACAATTGAACATGGGCGTTCGCTGCTTCCACTTGCCTAAACAAGTTGGCTTAAACATTTGAGACACGCCGGTGGCTTCCCGGCGCGGGTCCGCGGACGAGTCCGTAGCCATTAGCTTTGTGAGCCTTCGCAGCACAGCATGTGTCACGCAACTGCAGCGCTCCTCAAATGGCCAACGGACGTAAGTCTTCAAACTCCTTGGCTCAGCTGCACACATGTTTTTTATCGGTCAATCGGACATAAGGGCGCCGGTTTAAACTTGTGCCTTGTTTTCGCACTTTATACAAACGGTTGAGTTTCAAATTGCAAACCAGGGTTGCGCCCCCTCTGCTCACCATTCCTTGAGATGTGTGCTCCCAGGAGACCCGCAAAGGACTCCACCAAAATATGGGAAAGTGTCAAAGGGGCAAATTGGCATCGCCATCCTTATTCTAGTCCCAACCTGAAAAGGGTACCCGCAACAGCACAAACAAATGAACAAACAAACCAACAAAACAAAACAAAACAAAACAAAACAAAACAAACAAACAAACAAACAAACAAACAAACAAGCAAGCAAGCAAACAAACATAGCCCAAAATGTACGAGTACCATAGTTTTGGAGGTGAGCGCGGACACGCAGCAGACGAGGCTCGGCTTCTGAGAGTTTATGGTGGGGTAGAACTCCAGCTCTTCGAACGCGGGCCACATGGGAGGCATATTGTAGGACAGCCTCGCATTCGAATGCACACACTTTGGGCGCAAAATAATAGGCCAGATTTTCGGGGTTGCGGTATGCGTTTGTCAGTGGCTCCAATCCAACAAGAAGGGCACACATGAGCCACCCTTAAAAAAGTGAAACCTGCGGTGCCGTACAAACAAATTGCAAACTGAGGAAAGACGTAAGCATCCAAAACGATGAAGAGTTGCCCATCGTGGAATGCTGTCCCCGAAAGCACAGGATTGCATTCGCTTTCCCCAACCGCCTCCGGTTCAAAAGATTAGGCCGGCCGAGTCCTGAATGAAAACAGGAAATGCACATTGATACTGAAAAAGCTGGGGCCGTTGCAGTGAACCGGGGAAAGCATGTTGTCCCTCAACAGGCCACAAGCTTGGCAAAGTGTCAGAATGCGGACTTCCCATGGTTTGTACCCGAGCAACAACAGGAACCCTTTGTGGGGCTAAAAACCCATAACGGGTGCTGATCTCCAATTAGTGCAAAGCTGGGCCGCTCCAGTTCCGGCTTCTCCTTCTCTCGCTTCTCCCTGACAACGCTGCCACCCCGGCACTGGTTTTGGGGCCGCACAAGAACAACCAAACGAGTATGAATCAACTTTAATGGGGGACCCTTTGGTGGACATGGGAAATTGTGTCCATCAAC